CTTTTCCCCCTCAGTGAATTGTACCCCTAGATTTTTTTCAATCTGATTATGCTGGTTTCTCTATAAAATATGGCAAGTTTGGAAAAATCATACATGTTTCATTGAACTGTGAAATTTGTCTAACGGAATAGGTTTCTTTTCGCCCCTTTAAGTTTATGATGTGAAGGTGCTCTTTGAGCTTGTATGTTGTTCAATTTTGAGAGAAGATGGTGAGAGGGGTTGAGATTTGAGAAGAGAGTTTTTGCGCTGCTTAGTGTTTCTCCCTTTTCTTTAGTGTTGGCTTCAAAATTCTATATACTGTTAAATGCTTATTTGTTAGTATAGCATGGAAGGCATGCTCTTTTTTCGTGGTCTGTTTCTCTTCTCAAAATTGGGAATGAATGAAATTCCGGGAATCATTAGGTTTTCTGGATAAATTGGGGGCAACTTTGTGCGAATATTCCTAAGCTTGGGATAAGAAATATGTGAGGCTGTGAGAAGCTTCATTTTTTTTGATATCTACTCAATAAGTGGCAGCACAAAATAATTTAGCATCTAATCTAGTGTTTACTGTGATCTGTCTTAAAAGGCATTGAGTTGACATATATTATCAAGTACTACGTCTTCTTAAGTTGGTAGCTGATGTGGTGTTCCGATATCCATTATCTGTTGGTCGCTCCGATGAATGATCCACCTTAAATTTTCTGAACTGCATTGCGAATTTTGATTATTTTATGATTCTATGTTTCTTTTTCGGATTGCAGGATGATGATAGCGATCTAGAATATGAATTGGAATCTTTTCCTCCTGTAAGCAGTGAGGCTTCAACAGAGGCTGCAGCCTGGGGGAAGGTAAGCAAGCACAAGAGCTGCCCAGAATGGTGATCTCCTTCACCATTTTCCTAAATAGTTTTTAAAGTAGCTTCATCTTAAGGTTTTTGGCCAACCTAAGAACCGGGCATCTTCAATTTAACTTGTAATAAATTAAACATTTAGTAATTTCTGCAGCATATTATGCTTCTAGGTGAAGTCTAACAGATTTCTGTAATGATGACTGCCAAAATTCTCAAGTCTATGAACTCTGATGGCTTTACATTCACATATCAAGGGTCTCAATTTAGTCCTTTATATATATGATGAAATACATAAATGGGTTAAGAACTTTAGATATAATTCCCCAGGTTTGGGAAATTCACCTCTTAGATGATAAATACTTTTTGATAAGCTCATTTTGCATGGTTGAGAAATGGAATTTCTACATGCCTTTCATTGGATATTTATGTACTTTCGACATGAGCTACCTGTATTGAGATATTCCTTCCATAGCTCTATAGTACTTTTGAAAAGAAACATTACACTTGCTTTTATTTGACTATGCTAGGATGCTGTCCTCTACCCTTAAGTGCATACTCCTATCTATGACTAGAATTAGTCGCTGGTTTTCAAGGTGACATGTATGCTTCTCTCATTTTTCACACAGTTAGTTTGTGTTGTTTTGGGCTTGCACAGGTATTCATTGCTTCTGGGGCTCTACATGATTCAAATATGTCAAATGGAAGTACAGTTGAGGCTTCATTGACTATACAAATACCCAATGACCAAACATCTGGAACTGTTGCAGCAAATTCACTCCAGGGTATTTCAGCTTATGGGACAAAACTTACGGTCCCAGTTACAGTGCAAACGCAGCCAATGCCTTCTGTCTCGGCTGCTGAGGGTGTGGACACCAGTGGACCAGCTAGTGCTAACCTTCCTCGGCGACGACGAAAAGCTTGGACTGGAGCAGAGGATATGGAACTCATTACAGCAGTACAAAAGTGTGGTGAAGGAAACTGGGCAAATATATTGAAAACAGATTTTAAGGGAGACAGAACAGCTTCACAACTCTCTCAGGTTTATTTTATATATACTTGATAGTTATAATAGATGGCTCTAGCACAGACTTTGTGCTACATATATAACATATTACCATTCTCAATTTTTTTAATATATATTCTCCAGTCAGAAAACTCCTTGTCCTCAATGATAGTCAGTACAAGTATGCACTCTTCTGCATTGCTTGGGAACTTTTCCTCTCTCATTTGCTTTGTTTAATGAAAGTAATTTTGATAGAGGACACATTCAGTCTCTTATTATATAGATAAATCCTCAGTTTGGAGGTAAACGAACTTTAGTGTTTAGGTTACTTGCAGTTGCAATTTACTAAATGAATCTCATCCATATAATTATGCCTTCTAAATGCATCAAATTGTAATGACCAGAAAAGATATTGTCCAGTTCAGCTACTTATTAATCTGTGTTTGAACACTCGCTGTTATTCATTATTGCCTATTCCTCTTCGGTAGTTATGAATTTCCTTAAGTGTGTGAAGAAGAGATAGTCGGGAATGATTTATTGACTATTTGGTTTAAATGTGAACGGTAATGGAGCTAAGTAATTATGGTTAAGTAAGCAGAAACATTTCTCCATGTCATACTCTTAAGTAATTACAGTGAAGTAACGAAGAAGAGATACTGCTTGTTGTATCATGTCCCAAGTCCCCCTTTCCCCCAGAAAAAAAACAGTTTTAGGTATACCTTGGAAGTCCACCACTATCTAGTATGATTTGAATGCATGGGGTTTCTCAGGTTGGGTTCAAATGCTGGAAAATGAATGAGAACCCGAAGTGCTTATTTGTGGAACTAGCAAACTAGATTTTAAGTTTTAACTAAGCAGTTAACAGAACTTGTAAACATATTTTTGTCTGTGGTTAAGATCTTCTACTATTATCTACCATGTAAATCTACTTTAAAAGATATTGAATCTATCTTTGTGCAGAGGTGGGCAACTATTAGAAAGCAACATGTGATGATGGTCGGGAATGGCTCACATCTGTCGGAGGCTCAGCTTGCTACTCGTCATGCAGTGTCCATGGCTTTCGGGGATAATGTAAGAGCAGCTTGCCCAATCAGCCCTAATGGTAATTCTTTTAACTCTGTGTCATCCATAATGTCTATATGTCTGCCCCCACATTACTGTGAGAGGATGGAAAATTAATCAATCAGGCAATACTGCCTAGATTGACGCTGCTAAAGGCGTAAGTGTGTCATATGATAAGTTGAATCTTGAATGGCTGGTGTCTTTGACCTTATCTGCTGGTTGTTTGTACATAGTTTAAAATTTAACAGTGTATGTTACCAATTCTCAAAAAAAAATTTAACAGTGATGTTAGCTAAAATATAAGACCCTTTGACATGCTGGTAGGTCGTGCTATGGAAAACCAACGGACTAGGTCTTTGCAGTATGGGATATGATCCTAATGGTGTCCACTGTACTTAGTCTACTGAGTTTGTTTACTCCCCCTTCCAAGAAATATTGGACAATCAATGTTAGCATTCTCAAAAAAAAAATGATTGGACAATCCAAATTCCAATTAGTAATGTCTGCATGCCAAATATACCTTTAGAAACAACAATTATGTGCTCTGTGGAGATTGAGGAATTCAAAATTTTAGCAGTAAATTCTATTTTCCAGCATTATGCCGAAATGCTAATTATGTGCTTGCTAGTTGTTTCATCCATTAATTCATGCAAGTTTTAATTTTAATCTAGGTTGTGGTCTTGTTTCAGCTGGGCCAAATTCAGGCAGTGGACCTAGTAACTCTTCACATTTTGCTGCTACTGCTAATGTTGCATCAGCTGGTCCACAATCCAAGCATCAGCAAGATTTAGTACCTTCAAAACCTATAATCCCAAAAATTCCACTACCAAAGCCTGCTATTAACCCAGATCCAATGGTCAAAGCTGCTGCTATGGCTGCAAGTTCCCGCGTTGCTACCCATTCAGGTGCTGCTGCCTCGCTACAAAAGGCTGCACAGTCTAAAAAAGGCGTCCATATCATGCCTGGAGGAACTCCTGCAGTCAAATCATCTGTGCCAGGTAGCTTTAATGGTTTGCCCAGTAATGTGCATTTCATTCGAACTGGCCTGGTGTCCCGTCCCGCAGACCCCTCAAATGCCTCACAGTCTGGAACTCAGCAATTGCAGGCTCCAAGATCTGTATCACCTGCAGTTCAACCTAAACCAATGACTGTGCCATCCAGAACAAATGCTTCATCTGGGGTTCGAAGTGCCCCTTCATCTTATCCAACGACCGTGCTCGAAGTAAAATCTAAAGCAGCCGTTAGCCAAGAAAATCAAATTGCTGTTCTGTCTGATACAAGGAGTGAGAAAACACAAGTTATTCGAGCTGCTTCGTTGGCGAATACACCACAACAGCAGGTCCCAAAAGATCAAACTTTTGGTAACCTGTTGTCAGGGAAAGTTGAAGGTCAAACTTCAGTTTTAGGTGACACAGTGAAAAAACTTGGAGGAGAGAGTAAAGCTTCAAGAATTTGGGTTCAAGAAAAACTAATCTCAAGTCAAGAGACTACCAGCAACAAGAAATAGAACACAAATAGAAATGGCAGTTCTTTGTCAAAAATAGAAGTGGCAGTTGAAAATGCTGGTGTTCATGGTCCTGCACCTGTGACATGTAAGAAGATGTTCAAAAGAAGTTGAGGAAGGGGATTTAGGTGAGACACATTTGGGAACTGAGGATGGGGGAGAGTAAAATAAATTCACTGGCTGGACCTGCTTTGTATGTAATTTCTAATTTGTACCGGCTATTTTGTGCTGACTTTTATCCTCAACTTTGTAAATGTATTCTCCTAAATCTCTTGTCTATGCTTAGGTGACAATTCAAAATTCTTTCATATGTTCCCTTGTTGAAGGTTGAATATCTTCAGGTGTTGTTATTAGTAAGTGGTTTTGGTACATCTGTTACATGTTGCTTAGACACATGGTTATGGATAGACTCTGTTTTTGGTGTTTCCCAAACAATTGTGCTAAAAATTCAATGAACCGAGATTAGATCAGGAAGACTGATGTGTGACATTTCACCAATGAAGATGAATTCATACCTTGTCTAAATATATAAATTCATATCAATTGAAGTACATGGTTATTCAATATGTGAAACCAGGTCTTAAAGAAAGAGCTGTGCTGTTTGCAGAAATTGGTGAATCTGAAAAAAAATTTGTTGCAAGGAGGAACATGGCAATGCTTTAAAACACGAGCAGATCTGGTATTCTATTCGATAAAAGGCAACACACCTTTTCTCCTTCAAATTAATTTTCAACTATTAAGAATTGACTACAAGAGAGCTGAAGGGGAAGGAAAAGGGGGGGGGGGGGGGGGGGAGGGGGGGGAAGAGACATCTATCTGGCTACTGCTGTTATAAAAGCATCTATCTTGGTGCTGTTATAAATCACTGTACTGTTTCTGCAATGCTGGATTCACACAGGAAAATATGGACGGCCTCTGCCTCTTCAACTTTACTCCAAACAAGAAGGACCTTAGGGGAATTTTGGATCGAGGCCTTGCTGGTTGTTTTTTCAGCCCAAGTTCTTCGTCCAGGTTTGACAGTGTGCTTTGGATCTCATTTTGAAGTTTCCGAATACATTCAATCCCTACTTCAAGTTCACCTGCTAGTTTATTGTTCTCTTGCTTCATGTTTAAAATCTCACCTTGAAACTTTGCTGCTTGATAGGCATTCAACACTGGTTCATTCTCTTTGGACCTTGACAATCTTGTTATCACATCGAGAATATTAGATAGAGATGATAACCTGTTCTGTAAGTCATCTTTCAGTACTGCATTATGGTCCAACCACAATGTCAACTCAGTATGTATCTCTCTTAGATGCCTATAGATTGGGCGGATGCCTGATAGTAGCGACTGTGGTAGACCTGTATCTTGCTTGCGCTCTTCCCTCACTTTATTTATTTCATCTTGTAAATCCTGAACTGAAGTTTGAAACTTATGTAGTTGATGAAATGAGGTGCTAAATCTAAGCCACAACTCTATGTTTTCCTCCAGCAAATCATCAATGTCCATCCGTACTTTCTCTTCAACAGTGGTGAAGGAGTGTGTTTCATCAACATCAGTAACTTTGATATCTCTGCTATCCTCCCCAATATCTGAGATCCTTCTGTCTTCTGGTGCAGTTGATTCCTGTCTCATGTCAGCAGCTTGCAAGGTTGCTTCCTTTGGCATTTCATTGAAGTTTATTGTTTCAACGTCTTTTGACTGAAGCGAGTTCAATCTATGCTGTAAGGATAGAATCTGTGCATCCTTCAAGGCATTAGCATTCTTTAGAACTTTCATCTGCACAACATATTGGAAGTGGCTCGCTCTCCTTTTCTTCTCCTCATCATTGAGCTTCATCTTCACACCCTTGAAATTTCTAAGAACTGATGTATACTCCTCTAGTAGTATCTTCTCTCTGTCATCATCCAGGCTGTTTAGGAACAGTGCTCTCCAGTTTGGTTGGTCATCCTCTGTTCCAGATTCATGTTGTTCCGTGTAGAGCTCATTGTGAATTGTCCTGAACACTTGCCTCCTTGAATCTTCGCCATTCCCTACAACGAGTGCCCATTAGCTTAATTAATTTACAAGTTGACAAAGATAGATAGTATCCTCTTAAAGCTTAAGAGTGGAGTACCTTGATCTGGGAGATCATCCTTGTGTAGGTCATCTCTCTTATAATCACTTAAGACAGATGGAAGATTATCTAAAATACTTTCCCATTCTTCTAGCTCATCATCTGGGACGGGGCCTGGAATATCTTTCACTTGGACCCTTGCTGAATGTGTTTCAAGTTGGTTATGCCAATTGGATTGTTGAAAGTCATCATCTTGCTTTGCTTGAATGAAATTGTGAGAGAACTCATTGTTTTGCTCCTCCGACTCAATTTTATTCTTGAAATCCATCCTTCTTGAAAGATCATCTGATTGCTTGCTGTCATTCATATTGAGATGATGATCATCACCTACCTTCTCTCTACCTTTGTTGTTCGTAGTGATTGAGATCCCTGAGCCACTACTGGATGCTCTTGTATCTTCACTTTGGTCTGATTTTTCTAGAGTGGACTTTTGAGGAGTGCTTCCTCGACCCTTCACCTGGATGTTTTTAAGGTAATTCTGTGAATTGGAAGGATCATAATCCAGTTTCTCAAGTTGTATCTCCGTGTCTTCAAGGAAAACTGAATCATGACGAGGAGATTTCATTGTATGAACATCTTCATTGGATCCACCTTTTGAAGTGCCATCTAGAGTTGCTCCAGATGAACTAACCTGCAATAGATCATTGGATAAACTTCTCCCCTCTTCGCTTGTAGAAGAAGCAAACTTGTCTGTAAAGTCTGTTCTTCTTGCTTGCTGTCCAACTCTGATGTCTTTTGAGATATCTGAATCATAGGCTGAACTCATAGACAAACTTTCATGTGAAGCATCCTTCACTGCATAGTTCGTAAAGTCAGAAATGTAAAAATGTTTCTTCTTTAAATTTGACAGAAATTCTATTGGTACCAGCAATACATGCAATATCTGAGCTTTACCTGCTAGCTCCTCCGTTCTCTCTTCTCTGATAGCTGCGGAATCATCTGAAATATGAGTGTGTTCACTTTCATGAAAGGCCTTCTCCATCTTGGCGTTAGAAGCATCCCTTATAGGAACATTTGCAGGGAGATCATACTGGTAATCCGGATGGTTGGATTTCTGAATATTTTCTTCTTTACCTTCTGGGGGAATCTGCAAACGACCACTCTTCTCTGCAATATCTTTGGTGCCTGCTTGCTCTTCCATTCTCATATCTCTTCTGATGGCAGATTCATTATCTGAAACATGTAGATATATAACTTTCATCAGACTTCATTTCCATCGAATTTTGGGAACAATACATTATATGATTCTGGTGGTGGGTTTTGTAAAATATTTCTTCTTTACCTTCAACAATGTGAAAAAAATGGCTCCTGTCTGCAGCATCTTTTGTCCTGGCTTGCTCTTCCTTCCCCGCATATCTTTTTGTGGTCAAGTCATCATTTGATGTATGAAAGCTTTCACTTTCAACAAATCCTCTCTCCATATTTACATCTGGAGAATCCCTTGGTGGAGCTTCTTGTATAAAGTCATTCAGATGATTCTGATGGTTGGCTTTGTAAAGCTTTTCTTCTTTATCTTCGACAGAACTGGGGAAAATGTCCCTTCTGTCTGCAAGATCATTTGCCCCCTTTTGTTCGACATTTTTCTTGGTAGGTGATCCATGATCTGTAACATGTACTTGTTGACTTTTGTCAACCCCTTTTTCTAACTTAACCTCTTCCACATCCTTCACACAACCAATTTTGGTTGAGTCGTCATGGTCATTCTGAAGGTCGGATATGGAAAGCTTTTCAGCTTCACCTTTGAAGAGAATGAGATTATCCTGGATATCTTGTTTCTTTGCTTCCCCTCCCATTCTGATACCTGTTGAGATCAGTGCATCATAACCAGGAGCAGAACCAAGAGAATTGCTTCTGTTTGCACTGTCATTTGTCCCCCTTAGCTCGACCTTTCCATCATTTTTTTTGGTGTCTGAACCACGATCTGTAACATGCCCGTGGTTTTTATCAGACCCTTTTTCTATCCCAACATCTGCAGCATCTCCCACGGTACTTTTGATAAAATTGTCTTGGTCATTCTGAAGATCGGCTTTTGGAAACTTTTGTTCTTTACCTGTGGTAGTAGTGGTGGTCATCATCATCTCTTTGTCTGTGAACCCTGATCCCTGGTTATCTTCTAAAGTTATACCCGTCTGTCCATCTCGAGTATCATCGTTAAAGTGGCTTTTAACAAGGTTTTTCTGGTCAACTTCAAGACAATCCTCCTGTTCTTGCAAGACTTCTTTCTTCAGACCCTCCTTACTACTAACATCTTTTGAGATACCTAGAACATCTGCTCCAGGAATGTTTGCTTCATTAACCTGAAACTGTTTCGCCTTTTCAACACCTGAAACACCCTGGCTAGCACCTAAAGTGCCACCTGCCTGTCCGTCTAGAGTACTGCTGCTCAAGTGACTTTCAACAAGGCTTTGATGGACAACTTCACGACAATCCTCCTGTCCTTTCAAGCCTTCTTTCTTCAAACATTCCTTACTGGTAACCTCATTGGAGCTACCTACAACATTTTCTCCAGATATGATTGCTCCATAGGCTTGAAACTGCTTTGCCTCATCGACTCCTGAAACATTGATTACTTTATTGGATGGCAAAGTAACTTTGACGTCTTCATCATGCCTATTGTTGTGCAATTTCTCAGAGAGATCATCAAAACTGAATCTTTCATTGAGATTCTGAACCCTGAGAAGTTCTTCCTCCAGTTGTCTGATCCTCTTGCTCATGCTCTCGGAATCTTCAACCAAAGTCCCCTTCTCCTCTTCCGCTTTGTTCAGATGTGAATGAAGTTCATTTGTCTCCGCTCTTAATCTATTTACGTATGCATTCTGGGAAGAGAAAGCACTTTCCAAGTTTATGACTTTATCTACAAGTTCATCAACCTTCTCTGCCAGATCAGACATGGAACTAGCAGAACTAGCTACCAGCTCCTTATGCACTGTCTCTTCATTATGCTTCTCTCTTTCAGAAGTTTCCACTTGTCGGTTCAGCAACTTCAATTCCGAATCTCGATTGGAAGACTTATTTACTTCAGAGAGGACTTGTGGATGAGGCAGGCGACTGACAACCTTTCCCTTTAGAGTCTCAAATTTCCCAAGGACCTCTAAAATCTTTTGATGCTCAACTATAACATCTTCCACTGATTGCTTCTGTTTTTCCTGCAACCGATCCAAGGTCTCTTGGCATGAGTTCAGAGCTGTGGCTGTCATCAATGACCGAGCTTCATCATCCTCGATCATTGTGCCAATGCCAAACTCATCTTGCAAGCTGCAAACTTTTGATTGCAACTCAGTAACCCGTTCTTCGATCTCCCAATACTTTGCTAGCCCATTTTCATATGAGCTCTTGATGAACTCTTTCTCAGTCTGAAGTGCCAAAATATCCTTCTGAAGCTTATCGATTTCCTGGAGTGCCTCGGACTTTTTCAAACCTGATCTTGGACGAGCAGCAGCAATTTCATCATCAACATTGAACTTTATTAGCCCCTTCTTTGACATTAACCTTGATGGTTTAGCATTTCGTTTGGCAAATGAAGGAACTTTTGGGAAACTTAACTTTGGGGCTGCTGGTGAGCTTTTGGAAGGCTCATTTGATTCCTTAGGAGGTCCTAATTCTGCATAAAATTGTTCTCCATCTTCTTCTTCCATCGCGAGTTGAACTCTCTCAGGGTAGACAGTTGCAATGGTTCGATTAGCAGTCTGAAGATCTTTGGATAAATGATCAAATCTCTCTGCCAAAGCTCTGTAACTCCGGAAAAAATCTTCTATGAAGTTCAAGAGCTCAGGCCTCCTCCTGTAGTACATCTCAGCCCGCTTTGCAAAGGATTCTCCATCCTCGTCTATGATCTTGAGTACGTATTCAACCTTCTCCTCCATATCTGCAACTATATAACAGTTAGCTCTTTATACATACATGTATGAGAATACTTTCTGATAATCGAGAAATCCTCAAGGGCTAATGATGCGCGGTTTGAAACTCAGTGGATAATGGTCCTCCCCTCTACTTACAGGACAACACAAGGAACAAATAAATCTCATCTGTGATTTATACTGTTATAGTGATCCAAGAAAACATCATTCTTTTTTCTACTTCCAATGCCTTTTAAGACAAATATTCCCTCCGTTCTTACTTTCTTTTTTAGTCCGTTTCTAAAAGAATGTTTTTTCAACTTTTTGGCAACTATTCCATTCTAACTTTGCTTATGACATGTTTAAGACCATAAGATATAACGACATTTTGGTACATTCTACTTCTTTATTTTCTTCAACTCCGCACCATGTCAATATCACAGAGAGAGAGTAGTATAATAAGTTGTCCATCTCTCTGTATTTGTTAGTGAGTTTAAGTTGTGTACACTAAACTACATACATTATGTGCTATCCAGAAAATAACCTACTATAACGAGTTAAATTCATTCTTTACACTGTCGGTATATATAATTTAAACCCTTTTATCAATACCTCAATTAGGAAAACAGCTATAACAATTCTATTATTCTTTCTTTATTATGATTCATTGGAACTACAAACATTTGCATGATATCTATACACTATACAGTAAAACACACTAGTACTAGTTCTATATTCTGTTATTTTCTTGATAAAAGAACCTATTTTGAAAATCTCAAAAAATATTATTATATATTAAAGATTGTATCATAAACAAGATATATATAAATAGATATTATACAAATAAAGAACTGACCTTGGAGGTTTTCATCAAGCCATTTTGACTGTTTTGTTCTAATATGGCTAGCCCACCACCAAGAATATGCATTTCTTGCTGCTCTATGCAACATTTTTTCTTCTTTTTTCTAATACTCTCACTATGAATTTACTTGTTTTTCTTCATTGAACATAAGTTGTTTGATAATACATAATAGATGAGATCCACCATTGAAAGGGGAAAAAAAACTATATGATTACTAGGAAGGAGAAAATGTGCATGATGTTGAGCAAAAATGTATGGGGAACATACTTGGTCAAAAAAAGGTGTTGGATCTATTTTTTTTAGAAATAAGCATAAGTGTAGGAACCCCATTAACTAACTAACCAATTGGCAATTTTAATAATTTTTTAAAAAAAATTTAAAAAATCATGGATCTGCCAGATTGGTTTAACATTATGGCTTGCATGTCCTTCCCTCTTCTACTTTTTTTTTCTTATTGTAGTATTCTTTTTGAGTTGAGGGGTGTACATGGTTTGACTTTCTCCTTTTTATTATTATTCTTGTTTGTCACCATTACTATTCAATTCGTTTCAATTTGTTTGTCCTACTTTTCTTTTTAGTCCGTTTCAAAAAGAATGTATCTTTTCTTTTTTTGACAACTCTCTGATTCTAATTTTTCATGTCATGTACTCATGTTTACGACCATAAGATTTAAAGAGCATTTATTATATTCTATATAGATTTATTTTAAGATCATAAGATGCAAAACTCTTCTTTATTTTCTTAAACTTTGTGTCAAATCATAATCAAATAAACAAATTAAAACGTAGGGAGTATTTTGATTTGGATATTGAATTTTTAATTTTTGAAAATAAAATTTATATAATTAGAGATAAAAAAAGTATACTATAAGTTATAATTTTTCATTATGAAAGTAATAGTTAAAAAGATAGCAATAAGAAGATGGTTTTGCATTGTTTGTAACATACTAACATGGCTATTACAAGATGATGCTACATGATTCCAGGCAAGCTAAGATCACAAATATATTCATTTTTAAAAAAAAGATGTGGTGGTGTTAATATTATATTGTGGTTGTTAACTACTCCCTCCGTTTAAAAAAGAATGACCTCTTTTACTTTTTAGTCTGTTTAAAAAAGAATGACCTCTTTCTTTTTTTGGTAACATTTTAATTTCAGCTTTCCACGTGACATATTTAAGGCCACAAGATTAAAGGACAATTTTGTACATTTGATATAACTTTAATTTAGGACCACAAGATTCAAAAGTCTTCTTTATTTCTTAAACTCCGAACCAAGTTAAACTAGACCATTCTTTGTGAGACGGATGAAGTACTATGCAAAAATATTTACATACTTGTTTGCTATGCTGGAGAATGAAAAATTGAGAAGAGCATGGCTAGAAAAAAGAGACACATATAGAATGAAATAATCAAAGCAGTAGGTCCGAACACCACGATTATGTATAAAAAAATGAACATTACATGATTGAGATCAAAATAATCAAATACTATCCCATAAGGTTGCTAGTACAATTTTCGCTCTTCACAAGGTAAGAGTAAGATTACGTACACACTAGCCTCTCCAGACCCTACTTGTGAGATTACACTGAATTTTGTTCAAGTCCTCATTCATTGAGCTCCTCAACATATTGGCTTGAAAATGAATAAAGTTTCTATTCATTTCCAATCAATAGAGTTTACAGTAACAGGCTTATAGCATAGCCTTAAGCAATAGAAATACAGAACAACAGAAGGATATAGAGAGGAAGCAGGGAAGAAAAACATCACCAATGAACAGCAGAGGCATATTATTGCAACTAATGCTGTCTGAGGTTTACAATTATTTACAGTACTTATGAAGATTATCAAACTTCATGCGACGTATTTACAACTAGATGAACATATTCACAGATATTTACATCAAAGAATGATCAAGCATAACACACAGCTGTGCCTTTCCCTCTTCTTAAGAATTTTGTGTCCTCCATCATCCATTTCTCTGCGTCTCCTTCCAGTCACTTTACATCGAAAACTTACACCAATGTTCATGAAGAAGCATTGCAAGCAGAGGTCACATCTTCGGAGACGATTCTGGAGATCAAACACCAGAATATCCACGAAATATGAAAGGGAGGTTCCTTTTTCTTGTTTTTTCTTCTTTTTTTTCTTTTTCTTTTTGAGAGTGGATAGGAAGCAGCAGATGCCTATATCGTCTGCTGTTTCTTCTCCTCAAATATTAGCGTCCTTCAAACTCACTCCTCTTTCTACAAATATACATTATTTCCAGACATTTTTTTTTTGTTTTAGGATATCATATCTTCATATTTCTATAGAGTTCATATCTAAGCTTGTAGTGAGTAACCGTAACAGCTCAAGTTTGATCCACTGCAACATAGAATCAGGATAAGCAGCAGAAAACAAGTTTTGATCAGCACCATAGGCGCTGCTGGATTTCAGTGATTCCTCAGAGATGAGACCCAGTGCTCCATATACTTCTTATTCTCTGCAACGAAATCAAGAAGCCTAAATCATACAAACTACAAAGCTAAAAACTGTGACGAAAAGGGAAGCTGAAAATAATTTACTCATTATAGATATTCTTTTTGTCTCTTTATCTAATTCAATGCATTATTGATGACTTTATGCTCAATCAGATACAATAAGCAACAACAGCATACCCAGTGTGATCCCACAACTGGGGTCTGGGGAGGGTGGGGGTGGGGTGTACGCAGACCTTACCCCTACCTTGTGAGAGGTAGAGAGATTGTTTCCGATATTTATGTTCAATTACATAGAAACTAAAAGTTAAAAGGAAAAGTTTTTACATGTAATAGCTAAAGAACAATGTTGAAGAAAAAATTAGGTTTCTCTGATAATAGCAAAGTTAAAAAAGCAGGAAGACTTAATTGAATTGATTATATGCTTGAAGCAAGATTACAACTTTTTGATCAAACGAAACTAGCAAAAGTGAAACTCTTTCAATTTTCATAAGCCTTTCCAGCTAAACCGAATACTCAGATTTGTAAACATAGTAAAGCAACTGAAACGTTCATTAAGTTAGTTGGTTTAGAAGCATTGCCACATTCCTCTCTTGGTGTCAAGAAGCAATTGTATCATCATTCATACTCTATCAATACAGGTTTTGGAATTAATAACTCCTTTGATCAATGAGGAGTAACAGCCTAGTGGAGAAGTGTCACGTGTTGGAATTCTAGCCTCGTGACGTCTGTTATTCACTTGGACCTTCCATACTCTCTTATTAACTGCAACAACTACTACTAGTACTTTGACTGAACCCTAATGGCCAAATCTCATGTTAGGTTTGTTAAAGCTAAATGAGGAACCAGTAAGGCTTTGATTCCTATAGAGAAGAGTACTGGCATATATCCTCATCATCCACTTAGCTATAATGATTGTAACTGGGAAATGACCTTTTCAATGAATAGAGCCTATTGTGAGTCAGGTCTTTTGCAAAAGCACCAAATCTTTATGAACATCAACACTTGCGTTTCTAGAATACCTTAATGGCCTAATTTGCCAGCAATATGTGATTAATCCTAATGAGGTCTTTTACAATATAAGGTTTTCAACAGCAATGTGTATTATAATCTTTGAAAAGCATTGGTCAAGACTCAATTTTCCGTGTCATCCAAGAGATACATACAATATTAGAAATAATATTCAAATAACAAGAACATAACAGCAAGAGACTATTACCAGTAGCATATATGTCCTTCAAGTTTGCGATGGCTTGCAGAAACTTATCTTGTGCATTTTCTTCCACATTTGCACAACCGTAGCCATAGCAAGGAACAAGCACAGCAAAGCTATCATCTAAATCATCATCACTATTGAATCCAGGTCCATGAGGCTCCAACCATCCAACTGACCAATCTGAATCCTCAGACTCAGACCCTGAAACACATCCACCATCTGATGGCACAATAACAATATCATATTCCCTGTCAATCTTTCGCTCCTCACGACTCTGCCATTTTCGCTTAACCTTTCTTGATGAGGAAGCCATGTCCCTCCTGCGATCAAGAGGAAACTTCAAAGTATCCGATTCCCACAATAACGAATCAGGTGATGAATTTAAAGAGGAACCATTAGAAATTTTGGGTTCTTGATGTTTTCCACTCCAAAGCAACCATGACAAGGGGGTAAATGTCATGGCCATTCTTCCTATATCCAGGAACTTATCCAATGCAGGCACCAGACGACAGAGTCAGACAGATGTATCAAGATTCTGGAACCTCAATGAAAAACTAAATGAGTGATTTGTTCCTATTCCAAGACAGATAAGGTAAGAAAATGAACACAATAAAATTGATGGCAAAGAAACATTAAGACAGGCATGTTATGCTTAAGCCAAAATCAAGAAAAGAGATTCTTATAATTATTTATTATATTAATAGTACACAAGAGTTCAGAAACATTGAATCTCAATTTATATTATAATAAAACCATGGAACCCCAAAGAAAGAGGGATTTTCTTCCATTGAATCTGGCCTATAATGTTGTCATTATTCAGGTAGGTAAGATATAAACAAGTTTTCTAATATATAAAACAAACAATATGCAACACAATTAAAATTCTTCACCTTTTTGTCTTCTACCTTTTTATTAGCAATTAATTGAGTCAAGTTTTCAAACCATGTTCAAGTTCAACTTGAACCAAAGGCAAGAAAATTGACAGCTAATGAAAACCCCACAAAAATAGGTCTTAATAGAATACAACAACTAACATTTGACCCTAAAGAATAGCTGAATTTAGCACTTGAAATTTCAAGAAATAAAAATAAAAATTCCAATTAAATCAGTTCAACTAAACCCCAGATGAAAAATTACAGCTTTTTCCAATTCAACCTCCTCATAAATAGACAGAAAAATAACATCTTTTTTTCAAAATTAATCTAAGTTTCAGATAACTACAATAAAAAAGTTTCTAACTTTTTTAGATTTCCAGCTTGGGTGTCTCATAAAGAACCTTAAAAACTTTCCTTCTCCATCAAACTTGGAACATTTTTAATAAAAGATTCAGTCACAGAAGAACAAGAAAACCCCAAAAGAAAAATTACAGCTTTCCAATTACACCTCCTCATAAATAAACAGAAAAATAAAATCTTTTCTTTTTCAAAATTAATCTAATTTTCAGATAACTATAACAAAAAAGTTACTTCTCCATCAAACTTGGAACATTTTTGATAAAAGATTCAGTTACAGAAGAATCAAGAAAACCCCATTAAAGGGAACACAAATTAAAATACTTTAAGCCAATGTATAATATACCTTGGAAACTCAATATAAAACCAAAATTTGTGCAAATCCACAATTTACATCAAGAACTTAAAATCCCACTTCTTGTTTTTTGCTCTTTAATCTGAAAAAAAATCAAAATTAGAGGGATATGAGCTTTTTATGAGACAGTTTTCAATAAATCAACCACCGAACCAGAAAATTTTATTTTAATATTACCTATAAAAACAAAAATAAAACATAAGAGCTGAGCAGAGATTTTATTTTCTGCTTTGAAGTTTACGTGAATTAGTGGATTTGATTTTCTATTGGCTTGTAAAGATGGTAATTGAGGGTTGATTTGGAATTTTTGGAAAATTTGGGGTGTTGTTGGGATATAATTGGTAAATTACTCGCTCCGTTCTCAAATTATCTATCGTGCTTCCCTTTAAGAAAGCTTGATAAGAATTTTACTCCATGATAAAATGCTTGAAATTGAGATGGTTGGAATCTTCAAGAAAAATAATTAAAAAGGTAAAATGGGAAAATAAAATTAATTTTGTCTTAAAATTCTAAAATAATAAATAATTCAAGATAACTATTTTTAGAAATCATGATATATAATTTGAGACGGGGGAGTAGTAGTTTAGTACTCATCTTTGTCCTAATTCATGTTGTACTTCCTTCGTTTCAATTTCTTTGTCTTTTTAATTTTTAAAGTCTGTTTAAATTTGTTTTATTTTTTTTGATAACTTTTTAATCTTAATTTTTCACCGATATTTAAGAATACAAGATTAAATTACATTTTTTTTTACCTTCTATTATCTTTAATTTAAGACTATAAGATTTAAAAGTCTTTTATTTTTCTTAAAATTTTATGTTCATTTAATATTTTAAAAAAAATTGAAACGAAAAGAGTAATTTTTGTCACATATATGATTTTTTTCTATTATTTTTTTCCACCTGCCACCTGTTTGCAAATATTCTTTTTTTTTTGTTTACACGTTACTAACCGACAATTTGACATCCAATCCTCTAACAAATATGATTCGGAGGAATATTAATAATGATGTTATGGTAATATTCAACTCTCTAATAATTTGAGATGTAATTTTTGAATGAAGATTTAGAGATAATCAAGATAAGTCAGATAAAATTTAATTTTTATTTTTTTTCATTCGGTGTTTGAAATCTACGTTAGAATTTCGATTAAATTCGAATTGCACACTACAAGATTCATTTGAAAGTGACGCTCCAACATTATTTTCTCGATTGAAATTTACATAGGAGTTTCATTAGAGAATTATAGAGTATCAAATAAGAACTAACATTATTTTCCATTTTAGTTTCTTACCTTAAATTAAATTATTTAATCAATGATTAATGACTAATGAGATGTCTTTAATTAATATCATTATTAGGCAATAGGTGCACATGGCAGCTTTTGGTTTGATGAGGACAAAAGCACCACTAATTTGGCTATATATGACTTCTCTTTTTTAGCAATTTTATTAATTTGTGGCCTAAGTTTATAATGGAATAATTTATATGCCACATAAACTTCAAGATCTTCATATCAATCATTTAAAAATAAATAGTAGAGTATTAATTAATTAATTGATAAGCTCAAGAGAGTTCTAGAAGGGATTTGACATTCTTCTCCAAACATTTTGGGAAAAAGGATCAAATATATCATCAAATTTTGAGAAAATACTCATTTATGTCATCCGTTAAAAATTTGGCTCATCTATGCCATTTTTGTTTGATAAAAAACTCATCCATGCCATTATTTGTTAACTAAAATTACATAAATGAGACAATTTTTTAACGAATACATAGATAAACCTTTTCTCAAAGTTTTATTACATATTTGAGTCTTTTTCCAATGTTATTTTTAATGGACAAAAACAAATGGTTCTACCTAGTTGAAGTTGACACATGGCAGTTTCTGGTTCGATTAGTACAAAAACACCACAAATTTGGTTTGATATGAATAAGGATTGTGACTTGTCCTATTTTAGCCTTTTGCATGTTGTGGCATTAACTCTTGATTCCATTACATGCCACATTTTAAAAAAGAAGATATCTTGGATTCATTTAATTTTAAAATAATGAAGATTCACTTATTAATTAGAGAAAGTTCTAGAAGTGATGTATAATACCTATTTGATACTCTCTCCATTCCATATTAAGTTATTTTTTGAAATATTTTTCATTTTTCAAATTAATTTAATTGTTCAGTTTTCAAGACTACTTTTAGAGAGTTCTTCCAATTTTACCCTTCATTAGTTAGTATTGGAATTAGTGATTAATTAATATTTCGTTATTTTAATCATAAATTTGACAATAATTAATAAGGGTAAAAATGGAAAATTAGGTTCAATTTATGTCTTAATCTACTTTTCTTAAAGAGTGTGACACACCTCAAAAATTAACTTAATTTGGAATGGAGGGAGTATTGATATTATATGTTATTATAAGTATATAGACAGGTGTCAATGTAAGTATTATGGTGTTTGGTTAGTATGCAAATATTGTGTCAATAATATTTAGCTAGGTCAGAATAAATACAATGAACCCACTCTCTTTAACACAATTTGAACCCTGGTCCCGAGACATGACCTTGACCTTAACCCTAACTTAGAACTTGATCCTCGACCCGACTCTGACCTAACCTTAACCGAGGACCCAACACTCGATTAGCCACGACCCCAACACCGATTCGGGAACTGATTTCATTATGAGATCGGAGACCTAACCCTAAGCTAGGATCTGACCTTGACCTCGAATTAGGGCCAAAATTGGGAGTTGATTCTAAATTGGAGTCAGAGTCATTTATGGGTGAGATATATTACAAGTTTTTAACTTACACAGTTAAACATTGGAACTAAATGATGGAGATCTCCTTGAAACTTATGAATACAGTACACTTTTAAGAGTAAATTTCATGGATAGTTACTCAAGTTTATGTTCATATCACAAAAAACCATTTTTCCTTTATCTTGTTACACAAAAATTACTATTTAAAGATATTTATTTTAAGATTTCTACAAAAGTGGTGGTTTACCAATAATTTTGTTCATTCACGGCTTCCAACATCATTACCGTGCACCATTATTACTACGAATCATTATAATTAGTTATTACTATCACTAGTCATCATTTACGATCATCATCTCTAACCACCATAATTGGGTTTTGGTGCATGTGATTTTGCCTATAAAATTATGAAAGAAAAAAAAAGTTTGATTTGCAAGAATCCACATTATTTGTGCATAAGGAACTTGAATATATTATCACCACAGGCTATACAATACCAAGAAGGGTGTGTTGTTTTAAGGAATCGTGACAAAGTATAAACAAAATAGTTTTACCCCCAATGTGTTACTTTTCGGTGCAAATTTCTATTTAGTCGGGCTCCAATACAGGTACCTAACACTGGATGGAAAACTAAAAAAAAAAAAAGCTTGCAACCTAGCTCTGGGCCAGTAAGTAAAAAAGACAGCTAGGGGATTGCTTTCCATGGTATTTCCTAGGGGTGTACAAAACCGAACCAAACCGCAAACCGAGTCAAATCGAAAAAAAAACCCTGACTAGTGGTTTGGTCTGACTTGGTTTGGTATTGGAAAAAAAAAAACCCGACTATATTTGGGTTGGTTTGATTTTAACTAAAAAAACCAACCCGACATTATATATGTAATTTTATAATTTTATTTTATACATAAAAATATTTACTTTGATATAAATTTAAAATATTTCTCATACTATTTCATAGTTTTTATCTTTTAATATATTATTTCAAGTTTAAAACTTAGAATTCGGAATGGTCCAATAAAGATTATAGTTCATAGATGTTGATAATTATAATAAAACTTAAATCAAAATTAAATTAATACTAATGCAAAAAGAAAATCAATTCAACACTAAGAATGACAATTATATTGAATATTTGTTCTTTAGTTTTACATTGGTTTAGACAATTAAAATACATAATCTAATTTTAATTTTCCTTAAATATTTAGTAATGTAACTAATACTTATTAAACTTATTTTAGCATGATTTAGTACTTTTAAATTATGATCATTTTCATTATGACTTTGCAATATTTATTTTATATGATGATTTCATTATTATTGTTTATTGAATATTTTATCGTCATCAGTACTCATCTCATATTTTGTGTTATTTTCTTAAGAAACACCTTAGATAATTGTATTTTGATTGGACTACAGAAATATTTGGAGCACAAGTTAATTATATGTTTGTATGCAAACTTTACCAAAAAAATCCAAAAATCTGAAAAAATTCGAGGTTTATTAGTTTGGTTTGATTTATAAATTTAAAAATTTGACACAATGGTTTGGTTTGGTAATTGAAAAACCCGAACCAACCCGAGGTTGAAAAATCCGAATTTTATTAGTTTGATTTGGTTTGTAAATTTAAAATTTTTATACAAATGATTTGTTTTGATATTTGAAAAACCCTAACCAATCCAATCATGTACACCCCTAGTATTTCCAATCTTAGATAGAGGCTTTCTTTTGTTTCACCCTCATCATTTGCCTGCATAGTATCGTGACCTGCCACTTTGTCATACCACTTAGGCATGAAGTTAAAGCATAAGTGAGCTAATCTTAGTAGGAAGGATCTAAAGTCTTAGAGAGGTTTGGAGAAAACTCTAGAATATCCTAGAAGATTTCTTGGAAGGCTTTAGAATTCTCTAGGCTTGTAGAGAATTCTAGAAGAGAAGACCGAGATGGATGCGCTCAAGGGAGAGGTGGAAGTTGGACGATCTGTGACATCCAAGGGAGATAGGGAGGACAAGATTGAGGCTCCAAAGCCACCGATGTTCAAAGATGTTCGTGACGCGCAAGAGGTGGAAAATTTCACGTGACATTTGGAGAATTACTTCAAGTGCAACAGGGTGAAGAGCAATGAGAAAAATATCAACACTGTCATGTTGTACCTCTCAGAAATAGACATGCTATGGTGGAGGCGTAAAGAGTTTGAGATAGGGAAGAGGTTTTGCACCATCAATACTTGGGAGCAATTTCGAGAAGAATTCAAGAAGGCTTTCTTCCCAACAAAGACTCGGTTGTCCATGCATCAGTAATGCGCCACGATCGTCGCAGCATCAGGTGGGGGAGAGTGTCATGACTCGTCACTTTGTCATACCACTTGACATGAGCATAAGTGAGCTAGCCTTAGTGGGAAGGATCTAGAGTCTTAGAGAGGTTTGGAGAAAACTCTAGAATATTCTAGAAGATTTTCTTAGAATACTTTAAAATTCTTTAGGCTTGTAGAGAATTCCAGAAGAGGGACTAACTTGTAAATATGTAAGTACTTGTATAACAATTTTTATTTGCACTTAGCTCCTAGGTGTGTGGTCTAAATAGAGGGGCATTTATTTGTAAATGAACATGGACCAAGCAAATGTAATCTTCCAAAGCAATACACAAACCTTCTTTCAAATTCTCTAAGCGATGTGTCGCACGAAGCGTTAGTTGAAGTAGAAGTTCTTCATTATCTTAGCGATGTACCGCATTGAGCGTTAGTTAAAGTCTAAGTCTGTGACAGTAGGCTTTTCAGAAAGTTTACTTTGAAGTAACATTGCGCCTTAAGTAGCCAACGTTTGGCTACGCTCAGTTTCATCCGTTCCCAAATTATTTCCCTTAGCACCTACAACATCTAATGAGGGCAATTGGTTGTCTTTCATAATAGAGGTCTCTTTGTTGCTGCCAATTCATAAGGTCACAATGACACAATATTCCACACGAATCACCTATATCCCGATAATCACATTTGTTCTACATGTGACATTCACATTTGTTTATATATATATTATTTTATTTATTTTATTTTATTTATTTCTAATTATTTGTATTTTGCACAATTTATAAAATTGCATACATATTAAAATTAGAACTTGTAATGTTTATGTGTAAATGTAAATGATTTATGCAATTTTTACTATCTTTTCGGTATTATGAGTAGTGGTTTATCTTTTTAAAATAAAAAAATTAACTTTTTGTGAGTGTGATTTATTAAGATGACAATTATTTATCCTCAAATAATTCAAGTTTAAAAATAACAAACATGACAACAAAATTGTTCTTCTCTTAGCTAGTTAGAGGTCATAAAAAATAATATTGTCCAACAATTATCTCCCTTGACCCAATTACATAATAATTCAAGGGTATAATTGGAAATAATTTTTTTATAGACTTTTAATTTAAGCACAAGATGAAGTTGGAAATAATGAACTAAACTAAAAATATATCCTGCATTACTAATCCTTGCACTATTAATCTCTACATTACTAATCTTTGCGTTATTAATCTTTCTACCAAACAACTCCTAAAGCAACTAGCATAGATCCAGATGCTTTGAAATAGAAACATAGCATGAATGGTATATTCTCTGCAAAAGGAAATACAGTATAGAAAATGAACAACAAAACAAACGCCAGAAAAGTTTTTGGAGAAGTGTAAAGAAAAACATAGCACCAACTAAGGTTAAATGCTTTACTTGGTTGGTGGCCAGAAATGCATGCTTTAACACAAGAAGTTTTGAAAAGAAAGGGACAAATTATTGTTTCCTAATGTCTTTTTTTTTTTGGTTTCCCACTCGATGTCCAGTACCGACATTGGAGCCCGACTAAATCCGAATTCACCCTGGGAAGTCTCACATTAGGGTTAAAACACTCCCTAACAAAAACGACTCCGTACATTATTTCCTAATGTCAACTATGTAGGAAACATGAAGAGACCAATAATCACCCTTTTTAGCACTGCAGATTCTTTGCATAGCTATGTCATTTTTATTTTGTCTCCCAGACACAAAGTGGACATACCTAAGCATATTGCAGATTTGTTGAGTTGTTGGATTAAAAGAGGAAGCAAGAGCCAGAAGTGATGGTGAAGAATAATTCCACATTGCATCTGGTGGACTGTGTGGAGGGAGAGGAATTACAGAAGCTTTGAAGATAGGTCCAATTCCATTCAGATAGTAAAATAGAATTGTATGATATCTTTTGCAAAGAGGAGACGGAACTTGTAGATTTGTTAGGATCTCTGTGTTTACTCTCTTGTTTTTTGATGGAATCCAGCACTAATACCTGGAAGGGAAGCCAGAATTTTTTATGTAGATCAATCAATCCCGCCCTGTTCTGAGGAATACGACCTTACCAGTTTCCGAAAAAAAGAAAGAAATTTTCTTTTATATTCGGAAGTGTATTAGTATCTTTTGAGTCTTAATTCTGTCGATTTCATCTTGAAGACGTTTTGCTGCATCATCACTCTTCTGTTTTTGCTTCAAGCTGAGATTGAGCATCTTCGTTTCTTCTTCAACACAGCAACCTGTTCGAAACCACATTTTCTTATAAGCAGTCAGTCAATCAATCATGAAAATTACAGTAAATAACAAAAAGTCTACCTCTGTGTATCAAAAACAATTACAAATATAAACTCTTGAATACAAATATAAATATGGATAACATTCGATTAAATATTCAATCTCGGACAAAAGGAAGCCATTCTGAAGATTGAGATGAGGAAATGAAGCAGAAAGTCAAGTCGGAGGCCATACATCCTAAACAGATTACCATTGAAGAAAATAAAAATCACAAAAACAAACCAAATTCTATCTCCATCTATGCATCTTTATAAGCACAATTTCAACTAATAAAGCAATCAGCAATTCACATAAAAAAAGCTAAATTGGAGACTCAATCTCCAGCAAAATGAAGCCGCTCAAAAAATTCAATCTTCCAGTTAAAGCTCCACATTTTCCTTATATGTGCTCTTCAAATCACGAAAATTACAACAAATACAAATTCTACCTCCATGCATCTACAACAAACAGCAAAAAATAGAACTTACCTAGTTACTACACCAGTAATTTGGGTAAAACATTACGATCAGAGATTCAAACTCTGGTGAACAGAAGCCAGTTGGAAGATCGAGATGATGAATCTTACAATCATCTACATTCTCCCCACCCAAGTTAATATTCCATAGATAACCATCAAATTTGCCCAATCTTCAGAAGCACAGTTGGAGAGCGCAGTACAATTATGTTGCGTTCGGAAAGGAGGACTTGCTCTCAAAAGGGAATCTATTGAATTTCTTCTAATTGTTTGGACATAGGTGTGATGATTTACTTTACAGCCAAGGTCTCTGGATCAAAAGTCCAGGATGACCAAGCTGCAAAAGCAAGCATTCTTCAACTGACTGTGATAGATAATAGTACTCAACAACAACAACCTAATGTTTAAACAACAACAGGAGTAAACCGTTTGGCCATAAAAATTATTCACTTTTTTCCGGAACACTTTTTCACTTTATTTGGAACAGCAGTGTTTGGCTATGAAAAATACCAAATCCAACTTGAAGTTTGGCCTGTTTTCAAACTCAATTTTCACTTTTGAAGTTATATTTAAGTAAATTCATACGTGAACATTATTCCAAATAGTCTTTCCAAGAAGTATAACCAAACAACTCAAACTCCATAAACTCCAAATAAAGTGAAAAAGTTTTGGAATCTATGGCCGAACGCCTACTTAAAATGCTGCTTGCTAATACTTCAGTTGAACATATTCACGGGGTAGAACTCTTGAGAAGTTTGAAATCCTTGACCCAGACAAAAACGTGTGAATCCGTTGATTTATCTCAACTGAACTTTTGCCAGGAATCTTTTCCACTTCCAATTCTTCCAACAAAAATTTCAACCTAGCTACATCGTCCCACCTTCCGGCTTCAGCATAGATATTTTTCATGAGTATGTAGAAAGGAACTGCCTGGGGATTGAAATCAAATAGTTGATCTGCTACATATTCTGCCATCTCAAGATTGCCATGAATTCTGCAAGCACCAAGCAAAGCTCCCCAAACATCCGCATCAGGCTCAATAGGCATGTTCTGTATAAATTCATAAGCCTCAAGAAGTTGTCCTGATCGTCCTAGAAGATCCACCATGCAAGCACATTGCTCCACCCCTGGAACTATCGAGTATTCCATTCTCATGCTCTCAAAGTGCTTCCTCCCTTCCTCGACAAGACCTGAATGTCGACAAGCTGTCAATACAGCAGTGAAGGTGAAGCTATTAGGTGGGACTCCTTCTTCTTTCATCCTTGAAAACAACTCAAGAGCATCTCTCCCATGACCATGTGAGGCACAAGCCCCTATAATTGATGACCAGGAAACCACACTTCTACTAGGCAACCTGTCAAAAACATCTCTAGCTGATTCTATACTCCCACATTTTGCATACATATCGATAAGTGCATTTGTGATTGGAACATTGCATTCCAAACCTTTGCTTTTGACAAGCTCATGAATCCATTTTCCAGTACCAAGTGCCCCCAACCTGGCACAAGCTGAAATAACAGTAACTACTGTAATATAATCGAACTCTACCCCTTGATCAAGCATTCTATGAAATAGCTTTATTGGGGAGGAACCAACATCATTTTGCTCATAAGCAGCAATTATTGCATTCCATGAAACCACACTATGCTCCTTCATTTGATCAAACAAAGACCAAGCGACATCAACTAGTCCACACTTTCCATAGAATGCAACCAAAGCATTAACTAGTGAAACATCTGTTTCCACCCCTAGCTTAATACTATATCCATGAATCAACATTCCCAAATCCAAACAATCCAACCGCGCACAAGCAGGAAGCACACTCACCAAAGTAATAGCATTAGGTAGAGTACCCGAATCAACCATTTTGAGAAAAACTCCTAATCCCTTCTCAGGAATTCCATTTTGCACATACCCTGCAATCATCGCAGTCCAAGAAACTATATTCCTCACTCTCATTTGATCAAACACCAACTCCGAATCCAAAGTCTCCCCGCTCTGCGCATACAGAGTAATCAAAGAACTCTGCACAAACACATCAGATTCAAACCCATGTTTAATTATGTTACAATGTATTTCCCTGCCTTCCCTCAAAGCTGACAACACAGAGCAAGAACGAAGTACAAAAGGGAATGTATAGTTATCAGGTAAAATTCCCTGTAAATGCATCTCTTTATAAAGAAAAATGGATTCTTGACAAGGACCCAGATTGGAATATCCCCGAATCAAGGTGTTCCAAGCAAAGACATCTCTTTGAGGCATTTGGTCGAACAGTTTTCGTGCATAGTTCATTGTGGGCGATAAAGAACAAGCTAAAGATACAATCTTGGTGCATATTAGGAGGTTTTTGTGGTAACCAGTTGTCAAGACCAGAGTGTGTAACTGTTTGAGGGCTGGGAGGGAATGACATGAGCTTAAAAGGTAGCTGAAATGGAGGAATGGCTGGTCAGCAATGGCAGAAGTAGGCAAGTCAAATGGTACGGTGAAGAGTAACTCAAACTTGCTGAGTAATTTCCTCAACGAATTGGCTGACATGAAAGGAAGAAAATTGACATAATTGTGAAACAATACGGCTTTTGCTCAATTTGGAGTCGGAAGAGAAACAACTAACATATTTTGTTTCGGGCCTTGGTCGAGGGGTAAGTATATTTTTATTTTAGGTTCGCGTTATTTTTGGTATAGAATCGTTTTTATTAGTGGGTGTTTTACTGTTTAACACTAGACTTTTGGATGTAATTCAATGTTAATCGGGCTTCATTATGAATACAAGACATCAAATGAGAAACTAATTTTTTTTGTTTTTGTTTTGGGCTTATCAAAAAATACTAGGCGACATAAATCTATATTTTCATATTGTAATATAAAGACATAATAAGTTATGCTACTCCTTAATTTTTATAGAACTTATATCGATTAGGCAAAAAGTTTGGTTTAGATATTATAAGTTTCTTTTTTGTTTGAAGTTTATTAGAAATGAATGAGCATACGTATCAATCGCCTCTACTTTCTATCATATGAATTCAGTTTCATAATGTTATATTATCCGATTTTACAAGTCTTTTGTGCTTTATATGTCACGTTCTCATGTTATTGTCTAAAGTGTGAATTTGAACATCTTCGTCGGGATGTTAATGATGTGATCAAATGTTTATGAGAGGAAAATAAAAAAAAATTAGCAATTGGATTTATTAGGTTTTAGCAATTGAGTCGGGTAGAATATTTATTTAATTTAAAGAGTAAATATTTCATTGAGCTAAAATAATATCTATATAGCCGCTACATAACGATAATAAAAATGGGGATACTAGACTTAGAATCCGTTTGGATTGGCTTAAAAAATAGTTTTTTAAGTAAAAAAAATAAAGTAAGAAGAGATCTATATTTGATTTTTAACTTATTTTGAGTCATTTTAAACTTATTTTAAGTTATTTTTAACTTTACCAAACACTTGCTAACTTATTTTAAGTCATTTTTTATTTATTTCAAATTATTTTTATATTTGTCAAACACTTTTAGAAGTTAAAAACTTACTTAAAAGTAGAATTGATCAACTTTTAAGCCAATTCGAACACCCTCTTTAATAACTCAATGACAAATATATGTTTAAAGTTTGATGATAAAAACTAATATATCAAAAAAGTATAATAAAAATAATCGTTTTTCTGAAAGTAGAGAGGCAAATATGTGTATATGACCCTTTTCCCTTTTTTTTATTAAACACTTTGATATATCACTTATATGTAATGTAACCAAAAAAACTTTATCCAATATTATTTTTTATTTTTCTTAATTCTAATTCCCTAATTTACCCTTATAATTTTATTTTATGTTTACCCTACCCAAGAGCTTTTCACCCTTGTTCTCGTGTTAATTCGAACTCATAATTTATCCTCATAAATAATTGAAATAAACCACTTTTTTATAGCTTTTACAAAGAGGTGTTTGGCTATGATTTTTTTAATTATTTTTTTGTAAATTGAACTCTGAAAATTACTCAATGCTAAAATTATAAATTTCAAAATTTTCAAGAATTTGAAAATAATAAAAAAGTATTTTTACATTTTTCACTTCAAATTATCCAAAAAAATAATTTAATTTATACTCATGATTAAACACAGTTTTAATTTTTTTTAAAAATTATTTTATTTTCAAATTTCACAATAAAACATGCTAAACATTCATTTATTTTATATATATTTTTTTTAAAATGCAAATAAAGGCAAATGTATATTCTTCAAGGTGCAAAATGCAAATTAATCATACATATAATTTTACCCTTCGTCTTCATCTTCTTCACAGATACTTGTTCGCCGTCAATGGAGTCACTGTTAATTTCTTCATCTTCTTCTTTGACAACTTCCCCCATTTTCCCTTCATCCAAACACGCCCTTACTCCTAAACCCCAAAACCTCACCTTCAACTCCAATGCTCGTTTAGTATTGTTCACCTGTGCAGCGCAGCAGATGAATTCACCACCCTCTACGGAGGCGAAGGAAAAGGAGGTGAAGCTATGGGGTGGCCGTTTCGAAGAGAGCGTCACCGATGCTGTGGAGAAGTTCACTGAGTCCATTTCGTTTGATAAAGCTCTCTATAAACAGGATATCATGGGTAGTAAAGCTCATGCCTCAATGCTTGCTAAACAGGTTAATTTATACGTTTTCCGTTTCTGGGTATTGCCAAGATTGGTTCTTTTCATCAAGGGGTTTTCTTATATTTACAAACAATCAATATTAGTAGTTTAAATTGTGTCATTTAGTTCTAATGAGGATAAAAGGATGTTTCCAATGTATGTAAATTTGCAATAATGTTGCAGGGATTGATGAGTGATAGTGATAGAGATACTATCATAAAAGGTCTTGAAGAGATAGAGAGGCAAATTGAGGCAGGTGAATTTGTATGGAGGACAGATAGAGAGGATGTGCATATGAACATTGAAGCAGCGCTTACTGATTTGGTTGGTGAACCTGCCAAAAAGCTTCACACTGCTCGGAGTAGAAATGATCAAGTTGCAACTGACTTTCGCTTGTGGTGTCGTGATGCTATTGACGGAATCATTTCACGCATTAAGAATCTTCAGGTCATTTGCTTTTTGATTTGTGTTATTATCATTTGGAGATTCAATGCAATATCCATTTTTCCTGTATTTGATCAGCAAACATGAATTTAGAGTATAGTGTTTTTCATATTATGGGAAAAAATTGTGCAGCAAAGTTGATCAATTTACGTGTTGCTTAAAGGTTATTGTGCACTCATGTGTTTATTGCAACATAACCTGCAGATTGCAATGGTTGAATTAGCTCTCCAAAATGAGGGTCTTATTGTTCCTGGATACACTCATCTGCAAAGGGCCCAACCTGTTCTGTTGCAACACCTTCTCTTAGCATATGTTGAACAGGTTAGTAGAATTTGGCTGACTTCATTGATTAATGTTCTATACTTAACATATCATTTTTTTTTATATAATTATAATGGTGATGTCTAATCAACTTGTGCACACTTGGACTATTGTACCGGGTTCCTGCCACCTCCTTCCAATACTTGTACATCATTTTATTATCACATGAAGCATTATGAAGTGAAGATCACTTGAAACACTTATTTATGCATCAAAACAGATGACAAGTGGAGCCTCAAACAATACCACAAGCTTTTACATACCTTTTCCTTGAAATTCGATGTCTTCTTATCTCACCGACCTCTAGTATGTTTAGTTAGTTAAAACTTGTCCATTTGAATTAGCTTACTTGAGGGGTATTAGATATTTCAAGAGAAAACATTTGCAATCACTTTTCCAGATAGAGCATTTTCTCATATTTGTCTGTTGAATGACTCTTTGCTCTATTCGTAAGTGCACCTGTAACTTGATTGTTGCATTTAGATGCTCAATATAATTGCACACTGTAATTTCTGTGAAAGGAATATCTGGTTTTCTCTTGATGTGCATATTGCTTCGATCCTTGTTTTTGTTGTTTCCTTTTACGTTCTTCCTTCTATCTTTTTCCTTTTATTCATTTGTTTGTTGATTTATTTCAATATTTAGAAAGAACTTTGCTTTCTCACTTGTTTCTGCACTCACTTTATCTTTTTATCATCTTATCATCCCAGCAACCATGTTCTTCTTTGCTTTGGATCCCAATGTGTCCCTTTCTGCTAGTTCAATGGCTTCATTGAGCTGTGCTTAAGAATATTAAACCTACATGTTGCTGACGACAGAAGAATAATTTCTTTGCAGCTTGAGCGTGATGCTGGTCGCTTATTAGATTGTAGAGCAAGGGTGAATTTCTGCCCTCTAGGTGCATGTGCGTTAGCTGGCACTGGTCTTCCCATTGATAGGTTTATGACTTCTGATGCATTGGGATTCACTGCCCCCATGAGGAACAGGTACTAATGTACAATTTATTTCATCTAATTATATGCTTAATACCAATGGAACTTGCAACAGACTGTGTTTTCGTTCTCTTTACTTTTCTTTAGAAAGGGTTGTGAGGAGAAGGTGTATTGTGCTACTTCTTGTTTTTAGGGAATCAAGATATAACTGATAGAAACCCTTTTTTGGGTAAATAACCATTTTTTGTATTAATAACTGTGAAGAGAATTACAAGATCATAGCATAGCCTAACTCATAGAAACCTATTGCCTCCAAATTTGGCCCTGATGAGCTTATGTCTCGACTCTCGAGCTAATTGACGTCAGTAAACTAATGATTGTATGTTCCCTGAAGATTATTTGGAAGAAAGATACTATTTTGCTACTAGTTTCATTTTTGAAAAAGGATTAATTGGAAGACGAAATCCTTGATGTTACAGTCTTGTCTCATGCTTCTGTTGTAATCATTTGCTTTTACCCTCTGATATCATGTATGTCTTGGACTTTGTTTAGTAAACTTGACATAGTACTAGCACTTTCTGTGTGGTTAATCTGCATTTGCATTAATTTCTTTCTGGCAATTACATATGGCCTTTTCAATCATGGTGACAATGTTTATGTGCAATAGCATTGATGCAGTTTCAGATCGAGATTTTGTGCTGGAGTTACTTTCTGCTAATTCCATCACTGCTGTTCATCTCTCTCGCCTGGGTGAAGAATGGGTATTGTGGGCATCCGAAGAATTTGGCTTCTTAACCCCTAGTGATAAAGTTTCCACTGGAAGCAGTATAATGCCCCAAAAGAAGAATCCAGATCCAATGGAGCTTGTTCGTGGAAAATCTGCTAGAGTCATAGGGGACTTAGTTTCACTTCTTGTGTTGTGCAAAGGACTTCCTCATGCTTACAATCGTGATTTGCAGGTTAAAAGTACTTTCCTGGAAGGCCTATAAATCAACAGTAGTCTAAATGCTCTGAAAAGATGCTTTATCAGTTAATTCACTTCCTTCTGAGGAAATTCACCACTACGTCTTCCCTCTGCACACACATATATACATTTTCATTAACTGCTTAACAGTGAGGCAGCCATCCAATTAGTTCTGTTATGTTTTCCTGCTTCACCATCTTAATCAACATTTTCTGTCTCTGCATAATTTTAACTCTTATATCATTTACCTCTTTTTATATTAAATAGGAAGATAAGGAGCCTGTATTTGACAGTGTCAAGGCAATAGTTGGGATGCTCGAGGTCTCAGCAGAGTTTGCACAGAATGTTTCCTTTAACCGAGAGAGAATACAAAAAGCTCTACCAGCTGGTCATCTTGATGCCACTACACTCGCTGATTACCTTGTGAAAAAGGCAAGTGATTTCTACTCCGAGAATCCTTGATTTGTACCTTCTCTAGTTATTTTTTGAGAAAGCAACCTTCTCTAGTTATTTTGACCTATAATTAGATTGGCTTTCTATCCAAACGTGAAGGAAATAATTCTTGCGCTGAAGTGGCATCAACCTATGACATAAGAGAACGTTTGCCAAATTTTTGTAATGGGACACCATCATTATGGCAATGTACACTCAGTATAAAAGTCTATCCGTTGAAATATGGTATGCTAAAAGTGACTATTTGCGCCGAGTTGCCTTTAGGAATCCCAGAGATCCAGAACTTTTAGAAATTGTTTATCAACCACCCCACGGATTTACAAATTAGTACACACCTCTGGGTTGACTAATAAACTTGTAACTCAGTAGAACCTCTTGGTTCATTCCAAGTTTGTTGCACAAGAGATCACTTACTTTAAGAACAAAATTCTTCTAATTAGCTCTTACATGTCTCAATAATGATGAAATTGTGATATTTTCTTGCAGGGAATACCTTTCAGAACTTCTCATGACATAGTTGGGAGGTCTGTCGCTTTGTGTGTTTCCAGAAACTGCGAGCTTCAAGATCTTAGCCTTGACGAGTTGAACAGTCTAAATCCGATATTTGACAAGGATGTCTACGAATATCTAGGGGTTGAAAATTCAATTAAAAAATTCAGGTCATATGGCTCCACAGGTTCAGAATGTGTTGCTGGTCAGCTTGATTACTGGATTGATAAGCTTAGTATCAGCAGAGAGAGGTAATTCTCTACACAGTAGAAAATTCTATGGCTCGTCATACAAGCTCGTAAGAATTTGGAAGGCTTCAATGGAAGAGGGATTATGTTGCTAGCTGCTTTTCCCCTAACGTAGTTTTATAATCTCTTTAGAGATGTATTCATGTGAGATTACTTTCACTCAAAATATTAGTAACTGAGAGCAATCAAGAAGTTGATATTTTTTTGGTGAATTGAATTAAAACTACTTGTGTTTGACAACAAATGTAAAAATTATTGGAACTCAAAAGTTCTTGCGTCTAGTTTGTTGGCAACCTGAATTTACACATTATTTTCGAGTATTCAATAAACCTTTATAGAATTTGTATGTCGATATATAACCAAAATTGAATTTCCAGAACTTGTATTTAAAGTAAAGCACAAATGAGATACATCTTGAGCTTGTATGCACTGAAAAGCAATCTATTTCACTAAATATTGGAAAAAGTTTGAAGAATTACAACACAGATGCTCTTCAGATTAGAGCCTCCAGACTCTAGTATCCTAATACTTTCAGGACCTATGATCAATTGAGGCACCTCTTTTTAAGGTTAGGAAAAGATTAGCCATACAAAAATCAAGTGGCAGAATAGCCAAGACCAAACCTCTATACATACAATTTGAATCAAACAAATAGAAATCATGCTCCTCAGTTTTCTTTCTCGCCCGTTGCCTTTGCCTTCCGTAGAGGACTCTTAGGAGCTGGAGGTGTTGTCAGTTCAACTGAATCATTAGTCTCGGAGTTCCTTTCTCTTAAGGTGTTGTTCCCATTTGTTAATGCAGAACGCATCGCTCTGGGTAATTTTAATGCAGGAGTATCAATCTCACCAACCTTGTTTTCTGTTTTTACTGATGCATCAGCATTGACAGATTGAGATGTTTTTGTTGGGGCATCTGCATTACTTGCTTGAGTCGTAGGGGCAGTAGGAACAAGTTGAATTGTTGATTTCCGCCATTGCTTCCGTTGATTAGGTTTTGGTGCATTTGATTTCGCCTGTAAAATTACAAATTCACATTAGTTGTTGTGCAGAAGAATATGAATAGATCAGCACACAGGCTAGGGGGTGCTTACCCTGGTATTTCCAATGTCAGAAAGAGGCTTTCTTTTTGTTTCACCCTGTATGGGCTTTTCAGAAAGCGCATTTTGAAGTAACATTGCGCCTTGAGAAACTAGTGTTCGACTACTCTCAGCTTCATCATCAGTTCCCAATGTGTTTACCTCATCACCTACGACATCTAATGAGGGCAACTGGTTCTTGGTAGAACTCTCTCTGTTGCTGCACTTTTTAGGGTTACAACCACATGATGGCCCACAAGAACCAACCGTAAACCGGCATAAACATTTATTTGTCATGCATGAAGACCTTTTACCGCACGAACATCCTGAACCATAATCAGTGTCAGAACAATCTGAATCAGATATATCCATATCTTCTTCTAGCTCAAGCTTGTTCAACTTATCACTGTAGATCAAGGAACTCCGGTTCCCCTACAGAAAGGGCAGACACATGTTAGCAAACCGTAATACAAGTACATTGTTAAGTTATTCAAGGGTCCAAGGTACATGCCTTTTGCCTCAGGTCATAATCATGCCCGTCAGTGCTGCTTCTTAGCTCATTAGAGCCAGAGTTGTTTGTCCTTCCAATGGGGTGTTCTAAAGCCAATTTCTGTAAGCAATTCAAACAATAAAACAATTTAATGCAGGGAAATGAAAGATTTTGTTTCCAAGTTTTGCTACAACTCCATTTGTTAAGGTAGCAAAAAACAGCTCATCAATAATGCAGCACACTCTCTATACTTTTATGTAGACTATCAGCATGCACATCGAAGTAAAACTACAAATTATATTCACTTCCACAAACTCCCCGACATGAAAGAAAGATAAAACTATATTTTTGTGATGAGTGATGACTGTACCTATGGGTTACCAAGAAAACAACCGCTTTACAAGTGTCTGGTGCATAACTATTTCACATCCATCAGATCCTATTAGAGAACCTTGACAACATTACACTTGCTTTGGGAATAGATTTAACAATTGATAAATCTCAACACTTGAAGTGAAGAAAGTGTGTCGATTTGAAAAATAACTTAGTTTCTTCTCTTCATTATCGAAGGCAAGTTAGCAAGAAGCTACTCAATCAATATTCTACGAATTTATTCAAAAGATGTACTGACCATCAACTTCTCCTGCTGAATCAGTTCACTGTTTTGCGACTCTAGCTGTCTCAATTCACTCTTTTGCAACTCTAGCTGTCTGACAAAATTTACGAGTTTTTCCTTCAACTCCCTGATTTCAGCATCCTTTTCTCTGTATTCAACTTCCCTATCCCTTAGCTGGCATCTACAGGAAACCAGAACCAGAACCAGAACAACAGTTACAATTTATTTCAGGAAAGTTAGCGTGAAGCAGAGACTTGTATGTTTTGAAGAAGACATTTACCTAGAAGATGATGCAAGGTTAAATAAAAAGTTCATAATATTTTTTGCATCAGCAAGAGACCGGACTTGGTTCCATCTTCCCCTACCACTAAAGGTACGTTCACGCTCTTCTGCTTCCGATAACTGTGAGGCCATGGAGACAAGTGTGCTAGATGAAGTAGCAAGCATGTTTTCAAGTGCAAATATCCTGGAATTTCTTGCACCCGGAGACATTTTCTGGGGGAAATCACTGCAAAAGAAAATTATATAGAAGTATTTAAGTTAATAAGAGTATAAGCAAATATAAAATGCACTTCGCAGAAAGAATACACTTCACAGAACTAATTGACAATAAAGGTTTCACCTCAAGGTTTTCAGCTTCAACTCAGCAACCTCATTGGCCATTTTTGCTCTCCTGTAGTTCAAAATGTCACAAATTATGAAAGAAACAAAATTGCATGACAAGCTCCGCTTTTAATGCTTTGTTTTATTTTAATTATTTAATAAAGAGCATACTACATAACAAATATTAAAAAATTAACTCTAATAATAGAAATATGAAAGTGTGTGAGAAACTGGCCATTTTATACTAATCCAATATATGATCTGCATGAAACATACACAAAAACATGAAATATTCAAAGATCATAGGCTACAAACATGAGCCTTCACCGCCTGCATCCATCTCGGCACATTAAGGCTTGATACAGTTTCCAAATGGAGAGAGTAAATGACTGAACAATCTTGAACTACCAAGAAGGAGCTAAGGTTCGTATCTGTAGATTTGTGAAGTGGGTGGATTTGGTAAGAAGAGAATCTTATCCATCTAGTTGCCAGTGGACAGAAAGAATACAAACTGATACAGTTCCTATTTTTCTCATTTCTCCCAACCAAGCAGAGAATTGTCTTGGTTTTATGTATTATGGGTCTTAAGCCATAAAGATATATTACAAATCCCAGTCCCATCCATAAGAATCCCTACGCTAAACCAGTCACATTATGTTAGCTCTTAGAAACCTAATCATGTCAACTTTACTGCCAAGTTTATTGATCACGAGTGGTGCTTCAAATGACCCAACTCCTAATGCTGCACAATAACCCATCCATAAGAATCCCTACCCTAAACCAGTCACATTATGTTAGCTCTTAGAAACCTAATCATGTCAACTTTGCTGCCAAGTTTATTGATCACGAGTGGTGCTTCAAATGACCCAACTCCTAATGCTGCACAATAACAAAAATGTGTTCCATCGCTTCTAATGTCTTATCCCACCACTTAGCACTCTGTTATGCACATATGTTAGACTTAAGTCATTCTGTCACCTACAGGAAGGACTTCAAGGATGCATCAAATGATGAAGGCAGGAAAGGAGATTAAAAAGACAGGCGAATGACTTGAACTATAGTATAGGATGTTTCCCTGAACAGTAAGCAACAATCGAAATCTTGAGGCCAGGACTCAAATGGATTGGCATGGTCCAACATCGAATTTGTTTGAAAACTACCGAAGTGGTATTTATTCAATCAAATATTTTTACGAACACCCAAACTAAATGGCTTTTTCTGGAAAGGAAGGAATGCAGGGAAGAAGTCTAGTTCATTGATATTTGCCAAAAAGAATGTATGCATTTAAGTGCAAAAGACTGAAATAGTAGATGCATACAATCTGGACAGAAAGGCAACAACCAAAAAACTTTCAAGTGCTAAATAGAAAACATTGGCAAGTTCATCCAATCATAATGAATTGACGAACTTACTCCTGCATCTGGCGCTCATATTCTGACCGCACTTCATGCACCCGGACAGTAACTTCAAGTTCATGTTCAATTGCTTGCATCAATGCCTGTATGGCAAAACAGATAATTAACTGGGTGCGAAAATTTATGTTCCCAAAGATCTTGATGATACATTCTATGAACAAGAAGAATGGTCTTGTAATCTCTCTGTTGAAGGAAATTTAGAGGTAAACTACAAAAGACAAGACATCTTTTATGATGAAAAACAAATGCAAAAATAACCCCTTCTTGGCACTAATACCTGAAATCCTGCAGCACTAGTACTTCCAGAGCCTGCATTATCACGTGATGTTTTGCGGGACTCTAACAACTCCTTAAGTCGTTTAGTGGCCATAGTAGCTTCTTCAGTTTTCCGCTGCAACACCTGTATGCCATTTAAGGTAAGCCACGTGACACTTTAAAAGCAGAATGGTTAACAAGCTATTTCCTTACCATCTTTTGCCTCTGGTTCAGTGCCAAGAGCTTATGCATCTCATATTCATTCCTTCTTCCTTCCTTCTTAAGCTGTTGAGACAACACATGACACAGACAGTTAGTCACAAAAAGAATGAACTTCTCAGTAATAAAAGGAAGTTTAGCCTCTGGATACTAGATACTGTGCAATATATCTTCTTTGATAATCAAGAAAATGAACAAACATTGTCATTTAGAAAAGAAAAAATAAACAGACAAAAACAGGCAAAGTCAAATGAAAAAAGTCATTGCACGTTGATAATTAAAAGAGAAATACGCTCATTAGATGATTTGAACAAAATAGGGATAAACCATAAGTGAGACTTGGTGCGCGCACGCACGCACAGAGAGAGTGAGGGTGGGGGGATTCTACTTCCAACTGCAGGAACAAATTTTATTTATGGTCTGTCCTGAATTTTCATGGGAAGATAGAAAATTTAGGATCCCAACTAAACATGAATGCAAGTTTCATACACAAGACTGTGAACTAAGACTCAAAAATTAAATTAACAATACCTGAAGAACTTCCTTTTCCCTTGAAGCTTTCCACAACCTGAACTGCTCAGATTCTTGTTTCATCTTTTGTTGTAATTGAACCTAGATACAGAAAAATGAATCAACTGCATGAAAAGAAATACTCTTTTACAATCAAAAGTGCCTGACATATATAATAATTAGTACCTTCTGTGTCTTAATTCTGTGGATTTCATCCTGAAGACGTTTTGCTGCATCATCGCTCTTCTGTTTTTGTCTCAAAAGCTGAGATTGAGCATCCTGTTTTTTCTTCAACACAGCAACCTGCAGATGCAATGAATTATATGAAGCAAATGTTTTTCTTTGTATAGTTTATGTTTTTTTCCTCACAGGCGGCTGGGGGAGGATTGAGTTCAAGAGGATAATGTCTTGGCTGATCATTGCATACATTTTAGAAGCCTACCTGTGATTCTAGAAGATTTAATTTCTGAAGATAATCTTCCTTCAATTTTTGAGCACTTTCATCAGAATTTGAGGAAATGTTAGAGAGGTTGCGGTGAAGAGATTCAATTTCTTTCTGCACCAGTGTAAAATCAATAATAAGAAAAGGACAATCATGAATAAACCTTCAGTGTCAGCAGATAGAGCATATTACTTACCTGCAGAACTTTCTTTTCCAGTTCCAGCTCATGGACCTTTTTCTCATAATGTTGCTTTAAAACTGAGGTATCAACTGTCGCGAACCTCTTCATTTCAGCCTTTAGTAATGAGACATGAAGTCAGGAGAGAAAAGTGAAAAGAATATTAAGCAACAATAACTAATTGTGAATACATTTTTTTGAAATTGCTGTTCATACTGTAACCAACTAAATCCAAGAGTTACCTCAAAAAGAAAATTTCAAGGAACAAAAAACTTGCAAAACTTAATAGTAAATGCATAAAGCAATCTCCACTTTATGGTCTTTGTTCCTTCTTAAATGCTGTCTAATGCTTTAAACAGAAGTACCAAGGCGTCTAGTCCTTCACCCTTTTCTTAAAGGTAACACCTATTTCAATGATAATAAGAAAAACCAGCATCATCTTGATGTTATCAGATTGGGCAGTTTGACAACATATTCAAGCACAGTAGGTCATCAGACAAAAGGCACATAGAATGTATCCGATAGCCTTTCCCCTTAAAGAGAACATATCTATTGCACTACTCAGGTGACTCTCATTGTTCTGTCGAAACAGCTAAGGTCAGTAAGAGATCTCTCCAGCCTAAACCCTTTAAAGTAGATCTCTCACTCAAGTCCCAGAAGTCTCCCAAAGTTATAAGCTTAGGAAGTTTGATTCTCTTGCAATAACTTAAATAAGGAGTCAACAATAGAAGAGCAAAAATTTAATTTCTGCTCCCTAACTGAATTTCCATAAACTACTTTTATAAAATAGCATCAGAATTCGCAAAAGTTACCTCCTTCTGTTCGAGTTTTTTGTCCAACTCCTTAAGCTCCATATCCAATTTTTCTTGAAGAGAAGAGTGTTCAAGTTCTTTCTCCTCCACTTCAGCCTCACCTTTACAGAGAAAGTTTGCATCAGATTAGTTCCCTGATAGGGCTTGGACAACGTGATTACTACTGGAATAAAACTAGATAAAGATACGAATAAAAGGGACAACTCAGACCACCCACTAAACAGCAGCTATATCAAATGTTTATTTGCCCGTCATGCATTATTTAATAACTGCTTACCATTTGTATCTACACTTTTGATGTCAGAATCCTCTGAATAGTCTAACCCAAGATAATCAACAGGTTCACCATGCTTTGAATTACTGGAGCTTTGTGAGTGAAGCAACTCTGCTTCTAGTTCTTGAATTTTGCTTACATACTTTTTCACCAAATCCAAATCCTAGGAGAAAGGGATCTCCAGAACCAGATCAGCAATTCTGCTAATTTACTAATAATGTGAATAAGCATCGGTAGTAATTGAGTCAAACCTGATCAGAGTTGTCTATCTCATTCCAAGGTCTACCATTTTTAGAAGATTCAATCTTCAAGATTAGTCTATCCCTTTCAACCTGTCATATTATATCCTTATAAGAGATTTCCAAAATCGAGTCATTTTACAATTAATTTTAAAAAAAAATCGCCAACAATAAGTGAACAAACCTGGGCATCAATAGCATTTTGTGTTAATTGTTCGCAGCGAATCCGGCGTTCTTTTACCTCCTTCTGTAGCTCTGCATTGCTTGCTTCAAGCAAAGAAATCTTGCTCTTAAGAATCTGCCCAACAAACATGGAAACTCAAACAATCAAGGGATAGTACTGATGTGTCAAAAATCTCTTGTCAAGCACATTCATCCAGGATCCTTATCATGTTCCAACATATCATGGGTTGGTACAGATAGATAGTAATGTAGACCCTCAAGAATAGTACTACTTGTCTCCAATATGCACAAATAGTCCTAGAAATGCTGGAAATTCCAGTCCTTTAGGTGTGTTCAGTATGAAGGAAAATGCTTTCAGGAAAATAAGTGGGTTATATAATCTAGACAAATACTATGAGAGGTGGACGCGGGAGGTAGGGGTGGTGGGGATGGGGGTTACAGGGTGGGGGTGAGAATGAGGTGTGTTGGAAGGAGGACATAGTCAATGCGGAATACCACTTGTGGAACTTGTTTTCCCTACTTCCACTATAGAAGTCTTTTTCCTCATTTTTAAGAAACTTGTTTTCCTAGGGGTGGTGGGGATGGGGGCTACAGGGGTGGGGGCTACAGGGGTGGGGGTGAAAATGAGGTGTGTTGGAAGGAGGACATAGTCAATGCGGAATGCCACTTGTGGAACTTGTTTTCCCTACTTCCACTATAGAAGTCATTTTCTTCATTTTTAAGGAACTTGTTTTCCTAGGAAAAAAATTTCCAAATATTTTGACCAAACGAACATTAGGTAAAATTAGAAAATATTTTCCTCCATAACAAGCACACCCTTAATCACTAGGAGAATATTGTACCTGGAGTTCCTCAAATGGCGCTCCAGAATCTCCACGAACATAAAGAAGCTCAGCTTGTAACTGCTCAATTTGACTCCTCATTCTTTGCATTTGGGCTGCCATTGGGTCACGGTTGACCTGCGAAAAAAAATAGGTTCAGAAACAAAAATGAAACTCACGTTGATCTTGCTAGGCAAATTTGTACTTACGATAGCTTTGTTCTGAATGTTGCGAGCACGATTTGCATACTTCAAAGTATTTAGGGTCTCCTCTGCATTGGTGTCAGCAGGACTGACACAAGCTGCATTCATTTAAGTAGAGTAAGAACAACATACTTGTGGTAACAGAAATACAGACTTTTACTGCTTTTAATGGTAAATAGAATAAATACCAATCATAACTGTCTTGCTGTTTCCTCCAAGTGAGTCCTGAAACAAATGTATGCACAAATTAATTTGACAGAACATTTACTTCCTAACCAGCAATTATTTAAATATTGATTGCTCCTGTTTTAAGGAGAATTTTCTTATGCAAGTGTCAGAGTTAGAATTCTTGTGCTATTTTTCTTTTGTTCGGTTTCTCTTCAGGATAAAACTTGCAGAGCTCTGTATGCAACTCTCCAATTGATTTTGGTCTTCAAATGGACAAGCAGATTGCAAGTTAATTACTTACTTATGGTATCCAAAAGTGATTCAGCTTAGTGTATATTACATTATAAAAGCCATTGCAGAAAGCAACTACAGCTGATTGTATTATTTAATATTATAGAAGTTAAAAGCAGAAACCAGTGAATGCTACAGAGATTCATACCTGTAAGAGACGTGTTAGCTTGCTATCTCTGTATGGGATGTGGGCACCTTCTTTCCGCTTCTTGTCATCACCAAGGGCACTGATTACATTGCCAAGAGCAAGCAATCCCTTGTTGATATGAATGCCTACACCAGAATGCTCAAACGATGAATACTGGATATGCATATTTTTTGTTTAGGAGCTAGGAGTAGGAGAGATATCCATCCAGTCGGTGATGTCTCAACTCAAACAGTAGCTTCACAAAATAAATACATTGTACAGTCATATTTCCAAAAAAAATATAATTGTCATTACCCTCTCGTAAACGCATTTCATCAGCTCCAGTTCGCTTTGCTCGCTCTGAACCAGCAAGGTCAACCAAATGAAGCTTGGCACATAATATGTCATCACCATCATCATTTGTTGATCCACTAGAGCAATTGGATAATTTCTTTTGTTCTAATGATATGGTAAAAATGGCATGTGACCGACTGTTGACATAAATAGAAAATAAGTAACTCCACAACTAGAACCAGAATTTGTTATAAGAGAAACTTAAGTAAGGTCTACTCAAAATAAACAGTCATTCATAAGGTGATGTATATACCTTGACTGACTATTCATCTTTGTGCTTCCAGTGGCTCGTGCCACAGATCCTCGCAACAGGAAGCACGCCATCTCTTCTTTTGTCCTTACTTCTGCCTCCGTGACACCTGCCAGAGTAATTCCTCCGTGAACAGTTTCCCTTATTTGAATGGGAACCCTAGCAGGCCCCCCTGTAGGCTTTGCTGCCCCATCAGTTTTGCAAAAGGCTATTGCATTTTGATCCAACAAATCAAACACTTCTTCTTTAAAAATCTACAAGAATAAAAAATTGACAGATAAACACGGCATATCATTTTTACCTTGCAAGGACATATATTGAATGAAATACCAGAGTTCTCTTTCCATACCTCAATGAAGGATACCCTGATCAAAAATTCTGTTGACTCCTTCATTGCCTCTGCTCTTGAGAATATAGTATTCATAACCATTGGGATCACTCCACCAGTTTGCTCTTCACCATTATAATTAGTGCCCATTGTATATGTTTTCCCAGAGCCCGTCTTCAACACGCACATTATTGCAGAATGTATATATAGTTAGTCTTTTATGTCAAAACGGTACATTCAATTCAAGGACATAAACAAGATCAAATAGAGCTATGTAAAAACAGAAAAAATTCAAGTAAATTAGACCTAAAAAAAATGAACAAGAAATGAGCAAAAATACTGGCACCTTACCTGACCATACGCAAGCACGGTCCCATTGTAACCTTGGAACAATGCATCCACAAGAGGTGCAACACATTCATCAAATATACGTGAGGAAGCATAGCCCCCACTCCCAAATACATAATCAAATGTGAAGACATGTGATCCAATTTGCACCTGTTTGTGGTCAAGAACATCAACAAAAGCCAAATCAGTGTAGAGATCATACATCTGTTGTGATCAAATGATAGTTGGACTTCATTTATCCACAACATGGCACAATAAAATTTACTAATAATTCAACACTGAACTACTAAAACTTTTGCAAATGCTACAAGTGCAATTATTTAAAATTAGAAATGCTCACCGGAACAAATGACAACTAAAAACATAAAAACGGTACTATACAAAAGAATCCCAGCTAAAATCAATAAAGTAAGAGCACCTGTGGTTCTCCGGGAACTACTGTGACACAATCAGTGCACCCAATGAGAAGCTCAGAAGTAACTAGCGGTCTAATGTTCACAGCAACTCTCACACACTGGGACGTGTCTTTCGCCTCAGAAGTCTCCATTGCCACTCAATGTCAATCCTAGAAACCAATCTTAAATCAGACCACACAATGAATAGCAGCAAAACAACACCTCCTCAGAGAAAATTACCAATTGAAACAGTTAAAGGTTCCGTTGGGGTTATCAAACCACATTTCCATCTATGCACAGACAAATCAGCGAAGATTACAAAAGAAGTAACAAGACTCTACCTCAATCATCAAGACAATAACAAATTTGAACTCGTGAATACAATCTCTAGCATAATGAAGCAGTTCACAATATCGATATACTGAATGAAACAGAAAATACAGCTCGGAGACCACCTAATAAACATCGGCCAAAACCAAGCTCCTCCAAAAAAAACCTCTAACTGTAACAATCAAAATTTCCAATTGAGGTTTCAAACCACATTTTCTTATCAAAATCACAAAAAATGCAGTATACAACCAAAATTCTACCTCAATGCATCAAAACAATGACAAATTTAAACTAAAAAAATATGGATATCACTCAATTAGATATTCAATCTCGAAAAAAGGAAACCGCTGATTGAAATGAGGAAATGAAGCAGAAAGTCATGTTCGAATGCTACACATCCCTCATTTCCCCAGCTAGGGCTCCAAACGCCTCATCCACCATTTTCCTACTATACAATCGCCAAATACACAAAAACAAACCAAATCCTATACTAGTCACAATCTCAACTCATAAACACAATCAGCAATTAGCACAAAAAAACGCTAAATCCCAGATTCAATCTCCGGCAAAAATGAAGCCGCTCAAAATATCGAGTATTCCAATTAAAGCTCCAACAATAACCATACTTCCTTATAAACAACAAAGTTAACCAAATCCTCCCTCGATGCATCTAAACAAACAGCAAAAGCAAAAAAAAACTTACCTAGGGAACACAACCAGTAATTTGTACAGAGCTTTCCGATGAGATATTCGATCTCCGGTGAAACGAATCACAGTCCGAAGATCGAGACGGTGAATTTGTACCTGTGATGAGAGATTTGAGATGCTCGTTAGGGGGTTAAGGGGGGTGGGGTAGGGAGGGGGAGTAGAAGGGGGCGGTATGCTGTTTCAAAAAAATGAGTAACGGGAAGTGCTGTTTAAATTGAAATTGGAGAAGAGATGGCGCTTTTAGGTCCGAATTCAAATTTGTTGAGTTGTCACGTGCCATGCGTGTGAGTCGCACGTGTGTTTTCCACACGATTGAGAATTATTTGAGTTTTGTATATTATGAGGTTGATTATGACAAATTACCAGAAATGATACTAATTAATGTTAATCTAAAGTTCTAATTTTGTGTTGAGAGAAGTAATTAAAATCGGACATATGAACTTATATTAGACACATGAAATCATTGAAAGATCGATTTGATTCCCATGTATATACATATAATAAATTATGTAAACTAGTTTATCTCATATAAAATCAAGTGGTTAGAACATATCTTATTAAATTAATAGGAAAATTACGTGGTTAAGCAAATCTATACTACTTAATTACTCATCATAGTTATAGTTTGTTATAATTACCACTCGCGACTAATATTATACATTAATTACGTAGGCTGACTTCGAGTTTGTATAATTAATCACGTTTGTATATGTATAATTCGCTAGAATATACAAATACATATGTATAATATACAATTATCTAACCGATATACATATACAATTCACCTCTCTCTCACTCTCTGCCCTCTCTCGCTCGCCTCTCTCCTCCCTCTCCCATTCTCGCTCGCCTCTCTTCTCCCTCTCCCAATCTCGCTTGCCATATATACAAATGCATATGTATGACCTGCAATTATCTAACTGATACATACATATACAATTCACCTCTCTCCTCCCTCTCCCAATCTCGCTCGCCTCTCTCCTCCTCTCCCAATCTCGCTTGTCATATATACAAATACATATGTATAATATACAATTATCTAACCGATATACATATACAATTCACCTCTCTCCCACTCTTTGCCCTCTCTCGCTCGCCTCTCTCCTCCCTATAACATGTAGCTACGAATTGTAATTATCAAACTATAGATATGGAGAATAATTAGACTATTTTTGAGTGGCTATATGTGAAAGTTCCTCATTATAATATGATCATTAATAACTAAACGGAAGAATATGATTTCATATGCAAATTAAAGGCTAACCCCAAATATACAAATTTAAACCATGTAATCATACAAACTTAAACAAATAGGAATGAAAAAGTTATAACCACACTTTTTGTTCTTTTTGTTACTTTAGAGTTCTTCTATTTTGTTCTTTTTGTTTAATTAATGATTCATTTTTGTAAATTCTTTTTTAATATTTTGCCTCACGGGTTAGTATGACCCTGCCCTTAGGCTAGTGGGTATTATTTGTACACATAAGATTATTATTTTTTTGGTGTTTTAAGCAAAATTCTGGTGGATCGCTAAGATTTTTTTTGACAATGAGTATCTACCAAGATTTTTTTTTTTTATAATGAGTAAGACTTTCTAAACATCAAGTTACGTTAATCGTCAGAAGCTTGGCCACAAATCTTGATGATTATCGCAGCCTATTGTTTAAATATCTCAATTTACTTAAAAATTTGATTCAAATTATTTCAAGTAAACTCCAAACTAACTTTGAAATGTAAGGGTCAATTATTTCAATTATTAAACTCAACATCAATTCTTCAAAAATGTATTAACCTATTATATTTATTTTCTACGAACAAGCTTAATAACAATATGTTTTTTAAAACCAAAACAACTCAAAACAATCATAAATGAGTAACGAGTTTTCAATTTTCTACTGTGTAATCTTGTGGACGGACTGAGTTTGAGTTAAAACTTTCATTTTTAAATGGGCTTTAAGAGTCATAGCCCAACCATCAAGCTAGCTAATGGGTTGGATTGGATTTGGTTTTATAGATCGAACGTGTTTTAACTTTTAATCATGTAAAATTTCATAGGACACTTTATATTTTGGTCGCCTTATTTAACTCATATTTCATTTATGTTTTATTTTGCAGAAAAAAACAACAATAAAGTGAACAAAAGTTAAATGACGACTCCATATATGACTATGGTGCACTTCATCCTTTCATTCTAATTAGGTTTATTCGCAGGAATACCCCTAATTCATGCAAAAAACTTGTTCTAATCATGTTTGGATTTCCAAAATTTGGTACAACTAAAGTTTTAGAATTGTTAATTTTGGTGTTCCCATTGTTAGTCTTGAAGTTCCAATTTCTAATTTCTTATAAGCATTGAGTAACTTATGACTAGATTTACTTGAGAGGAAAAAAAACAAAAAACAAAAAAACAAAGCAAGTTGGGCAACTAGTTTGGCCTTTTATAACAAGGGTATGTAAACTATGGACCACTTGTTTGAAATTTGATTGGTAAACTAACAGCAGCCTTGGTCCTTGTTTTCCATTTGTTCCTTTTCAATCTCATTCCATGTTTGATATCCGTATTAAATTTCTATATCCAAAATTTAAATTTGAGATCTTTGATTAAGGCAGCCCCATCCATTGTAGCACATCCTTTGATGATCACATTTGTAGTCATTAACACCAAAAGTAGTAGTAACAACATAAATTGGTTATTTTTCAAATATGTAATTTCAATGATTTAGCGAAAACAACTTTTGTTATTGAGTATATACTTAATTTTTTAAGTGTCTTCTTCCAAAAATTAGCATACAGAGAGAAAGAGTTAAAGGTCAAAAAACATGTCTAAACTATCTCACTTTATTGAGTTTTATACCTGAACGAATGAGAATGTGAGTTTCCTCCCTGAACTATTACCCACTTGTTAGTAAAACACACCTAAACGTCAACTAGACCAAATGTTTGTTAAGAAATGCTTCGAGACATATTTGTCCATAAAATCTTCGTCTACCTAGCATATATAATGGTTCTATTTGCTGACATATTAACTTTTTAATATATTTTTAACTAACTTTTTAAAAACCCTAAACGCTCCCTTCTTAAGTTGGAGATATTGATGTCACGATAAAAACAAGACCACCACTAAAAAGATAAAGAAGAAGATTGGCTGCTCTCTATGCATATATGTCCAAATGACATGCAAAAGTTATGAGAAAATTAGACGAGTACATGACATGACAAGTCTCTACAAAATTGATGTTCAAGATCCATTGGGTTCATGCCTTTACGTCTCAAATCACTTGTGATAAAGTATCTTATCCTTATTAAGGCCAAAAAATATCTCATCATCTAAAACAAGATGAAGATAAAATTACAATTTTCTTTTTTCTGAATTTGCACATAAAATACATTTTAAAATATGTTTTTTTCTAAAAGAACTTTTTTTATATAAAAAATATTTGTCAGAATAAACTGATTTCGACCGTTTTGAGAAATGGCTAAGGTGTTAGGTAGGTATTAACTAAGTACAGATAAAATATTAATTGTTATCGCTGTACTAATTTTATATACAAAATATACGAATATGAAATAACCAATACACAAATTATTGATACATGCATAACTCTAACTTGTACTTAAATATAATTCTTTTAAAAAGTTTATTAATTAAACACAATTGAGAGTATTTGAATTGATTTAAAAGTTGGTCAAATATATTTTTAAGTCATTTTTTGACTTCTAAAAGTGCTTGATAAATATAAAATAACCTAAATAAGTCAAAATGATTTAAAATAAGTTAGGAAGTGTTTGACAAGGTTAAAAATAACTTTTTTATTTTTTAACTTAAAAATCATTTAAGTTTAACTTTTTATTTTTGATTTAAAAGCTATTTTTTAAGTCAATTTAAACGGGCTATAATTCTCGTCTTCGTTTTAAAATAAATTGGGGATAAGGCACAAGTACCCTCTAGACTATGATCGAAATTTTAGAGACAAAACTTAACTAAACCAAGGTTTTATTATCTCCTGAACCCATTTTTTTGTAATTTTGTACACTTTTTTAGCTTATGCAGCACCCAAACATCTCCAACTCGTCTCAACTGTGTGGAGTCACGAAGTGTGCCACGTAAGCTAAAAAGGTGTACAAAATAAAATAAAAAATAGGTTCAGGAGGTAAGAAAACCTTGATTTAGTTAAGTTTTGTCTACGAAATTTCGGTTATAATATGGAGGATATTTGTGTTTTTGGCTGATTTTAAAAACTCTTTGTATTTAAAAGTAGTAAGACGATGAAATGAATGGAGCCACGTAAGAAGGTGTAAACGTGGTGAATTATCCAAAACAGATATTCCTTTCAGTTTTTCACGCAACTGTAGCCGTCGGTGTTTCCGTGTTGCCCAGCATCTTCCTCCGCCATTCCATTCATAAACGAAGATCTACCAATTCCAGCTGATTTTAGCTGCTTTTTAAGTAAAGTAGCTTCAATACCTGAGATAATATCATCGATTTTATTGGTTTTGAGGTTCGTAATCACCTTGATTCGAGGATTAATGGTTCATTTTTGTTGTTGTTGATGTGAAATTTAAGTTTTTTTTTTAAGTTTGATGGTTGAGTTTTTTTGAAGATTTAGGAGTTTGTTTAGGTAAGTGAAGAAGGAAAGGAGAAGATCTTTGTGAGTGTGTGGTGTAGTAGCAATGCCGTTATTTTAACTGTTGATTGTATTTAGATTTTTCTCGTCATGTTTTATGCATTAACTTGTAATTTTGCTTGATGTGGCGTGGCTTAGTCCCATTGTTATGCTCCGAATTGATAGGATATATGAGATTTGTTGGAGTAAAGTCTTCAACAACATACGCAATGTAAGTAGGCTGTGGGGACGATAGGAGGTAGAGAAATTGTTTCGATAAACCATCAGCTCAAAGTCTTACTTTAGATATTTCTGTGATAAAAAACCTTAGTGTAATTTTGATCAGAGTGCTAGGTGGGAGAGGACTACGACTGCACTTGTTAATCCGTTGTGACAAAGAGTGGAGAGTTAGTGTGTGCCTGTGTGTATAATGTCAAAAGGGATTTCAGCTATATTTAAGGTAGTGAGT